TTAAGGAAGGTAAAAGGACCAGAGAGAACTCCTACCTATACAGCTTTCAGGCTTCGGTCCGCTCTGCTGCTGCTGGCAGCGTAGATGATTATAGCTGCTGTTATTACTGGTAATAAGGTGGCCGGTTCGTTGGCTAACTAACCGTTTTTCGAGAGGAAAAGAACACGCACATTGATTGTGCTTAGCGAGAATAATACAAGCTCTTTGAATTTCACCGCTGGAAACCGTGGGTAGTCGACCAATGCTTCAGTGGTGGATCAATGGCCTATGGGCTGCTTGTTCGTTTGTTTGTTCTGTTTTTTTATAGTTCCTCTCAGTAAAAATGAATCGGGGGAAACCGGAATTTAACCACTGCCATAGTTCCTGCTAGAATGAACTAGATGCGACTCAGCTGCGTAGAACCGCGATAACCCAACGAAGCAGAAGGTGACACAGGACTTTAATACGACAATGTACTATTATTCATAGTAATAGTACGATAGTACTATACGTTATCTCGGCATCGTTGTCATTGTAGTCGTCAGAACAAAGTATCGGGTTAGTAGACGCGGTGCCACTAGATCTGGTCCAAGGTCTCTAGGGCATCCAAATCCTGACCAAAAGCCAGACTCCTGGTTTTCTGACGGGGCAGGGACCAATGGAGACTTGGTGGCGGCAAAAGGAAACAGGAAAGAAGCGGGATCCGTAATGAGAAATGAGTGCCATTTGTCGCTGGCAGAAGTCGAAAGTCGTACTGGTAGCAGTGCCTGCCATCAAGCGGACTTAGCGCGCATGGTTTACCCCTCGCGGTACCCCGGCCCTGACATACTTCTTGGATTTCAGTGAAGTCGTCTATGTGGGGTTCTTCTATCGAAAAGGAAAGACGGTTTTCCTCTCGAACGATTCAGCCAACCAACGAACGCAGACGAATGACGATTACGAAGGAGCGAATAGCGTAAATGCGATGCCGACATCGTAGGGGTTCGCACTGATGGAGCTTACGGTGCTTTATCGCCGTACGTGCTACTGGTTTGAAAGTAGTGAAGCGAAATCGAGCTCCTCTACGATTGCGAGAGAGAATGGAACGATGTGAAGGAAAAAAACGAGAAGAAACCAGGCGAAGACCTCTTGTCCCGTGGTGGTAGAGGCGCTCACGTCATAGCAATACTGTTAGTTAAGCCGTGGTCACAACGGCAGCAAACTCACATTGGGTTTAATAAACCTGATGCATCTGAACGCTGATCCAACTATCCGCACGCATGGAAACCGCGGTTACGTGCTGCCTCAGAGGGGGGGAATACACCCAGCTTGGGATAGCACTATTAATACTTTGAATGTCCATGTTCGTGCAATGGGAGACTGACGATAGGCAGTGAAAACTGTTATGCAAGAAAGTGCTCTCTACACTCTGAACCGCGCAAACACTGCAAGCAGCAACTTGATAGGCCATCGCTAAAAGTAGATCTATCTATAATAACTATTATTGTCTATATCTTATTATCTTGGTGGCGCCACACTATGAGCAGGTAAAAGTACGAACAGGCACGAATATGTGACGAAACTCAGTTGACAACGCCAGCGTCACGTTGCACTTAAATATCTAGTGGCCCCCCACTTCCTACTTGAAAAATTTTGCCATTTGTTCACAGCTTTCATACAGTACAGTATAGCAAGCTTAGATACTAGTAGCAAATGGCTGATTCTTCACAAAGGAAGACCCACAACGATGGCGCAACGTGGCGTTGAAACGGAGTAAAATATAAGTGAAGACAAGCAACGTCCAAGCAGTCTACGAGAGCTGAACGTGACCCATAATTCTATCTGCTTCTGTCATGGGCTGCAGGTTGCTGCGGTCACAGGAGCCCCCTGGTTATCGGCCTTCCAGTGGTGATGCCAACGCACTATATAGGTTCAGTCTACTGGATACTCCACATCGCTATTCTATAGTTTCTAAGCTAATCCGTAATTAAAAGAGGTAAGTAACTGTGAAATTGCCTCGGCAACGATCTACCTAGACGTGCACTACCTTATGCTGTCACCGGTACCCGATCGCCTACAACAAGATAAGATCACAGAACCGCTTGGGATTTACTTCTGAAGTGCATACTAAGCCGATATTGGAGTAGCAGGTCTAGCTCTGGCGACAAAAGTAATAGTAGCCCTCAGTTCTTAATAAAAGCCTATGTATGCATAAAGAGGATGCCATTATAGTGTAAGTGAAGATATTGGTTGTAAATCTCTCCTTTTAGTGTATGAGTGCTAACAAGAGTGAATAGTTAATGCTTATCGTGTCTATCACATGAATTGAGTTTTAAGAGATGTCTCATTTGCAAAATAACATTAAACGAGGATCGCAAACATTTTCACTTTGCAGCGCTTAAAGCAGAAAATATCGTCGATACTGGTAGCAGCCGTTGTGTAGGGTAACTATCCGACGAACTGTGTAGTCTGTAGGTCGTAAGCAGCTGTATCGAAACGAGCCCCCTTTATTCCGAGGAAAGAAAAAGAGAGGCACGAGAGGATAAAGCAAGCGCAAAAACGGGAGAAGACCGGAAGCGGACGATGAAAGGATACTAACGAATAAGAGCAGAACCCAACGAGGGGGCAGAAAGAAGGACCATAACAGGATTGGAGGAATCACTGGTATACGCCTCCGGGCAGAAGTCTGCCTGGCTACGGAGTGCTTACAGCGCCCTGCCTCTATAAAATCCTGAGCATCTACTAGTCCTGGAGTCATGTCGGCGCCACACTATCTTTTTTCAGCCCTTTCTTTTCTCAGCAATTTTCTTCTGCTTAAGCTGGTCCTACTGGATTCACGGCAACAGAAGCAGTCGCCATACATGTCTGCAGCGAATAATACTGAAGCTAAAAACAAAGTCCCTAATGAAAAGTGATGGCCGCAACGTCGTTGCTTGTTCGTAACGTTAGTGCAGTTAGTGTCCTAGCAAAAGTATTCAAGCGTCAGTGAATTGGACTTCACTTGAACGACTAATCTAGCTTATCCGGAACTAATCTCGAGATGAAGCACTAGTTGCCGTGAAAGATCACGAGTTCTGTAAGTTGCGTCCCCATTCCGTCCTTTCGGCCCCTATTTTGTGTTTCACTGTCCATAGACTAGCATAGTGTCATTAAACTGAAATACGGATCGGGCCAGACCTTGAAGTTTGACGCTGACAAACGCTATGTAATGCGTCCAATGCTGGATAGTCTTTTCCTTGCTGGACTTGGCCGTAACTGACTTGGGCCAACCTGGTTAAAAGAGATCACAAACTTTGTCGACAGACGGGTGAAGGGTAATTAGTTGACCAGTCATCACGTCGTTATCGTCGTCATCGCCGTTGGGCCTTTCACATTAAATCAAAACGTGAGGACTAAACCAGGGACGAGTTTCTTCGGCATCCTTGTTACTTGGTGAGTCGCAGAAGCCAGACCTTTTGCGTCTAGTCTGGTTTCTTTCTTATACGATTATGTCGACGGAAGCCGAACGCAGATGTTGGCTGTTGCGTAGCATCTGAGTTGCCTTCGATGCTTCTTTGCTTTCTCACCCCCCCCCCCCCCCCCCCCAATGGCTCTGCGACGAGGACAGATGTCTTTGCTAACGAGAAGATCAATGCTCGCTCTCTTCTGCCAACCACGAAATAGGATCTCGTGCTGTCGTCTATCTAATTTATTAGTCATTTACTATTTGCCCCTTTCCCCCTTCTCTTCGTGTACGTCTCGTTCTTTCTGCCTCGCACTTCCTCTTTTTCACCTTTCATGATGTCTAAAAGGCATAGGGTCCTCAAGCTGCGTTGTAGCACTGAGAAACTTGACTGGCCGGTGAGCTGGCTGTGGCAACCAAAAGAGTCTCAAAGAAAAAGTGTAAAAAAGAACAGACTAGAGTAGTTAGCTGCTGGGGCTATCTGTTGAAGAATGCCTTCGGTCGGTAAAATTACCCTCCAAGGTTCCTGTTACAGAACGGTGGCCTTGTTCATCGAAAACAGTCGGATCGGCCGTCTTTCACGACTTGCTTTCGAAAGCTGGCATAGCGACAAAAAAGCCTAAATCCGGCCGAAGTCAATTCTATCCTATCCAGTGGGATGTTTGTCTCAGATGCAGAAGGAGAAATCTCAAGGCCATCACTTCTTTCGCTATAGCTTAAATCTATCCAGCGAACCAAGCAGCCGTCTCAAATAATCTACAGGACATCGGCACAGGCTAGAAAAATCCTTAGAATAGTTAATTACCGTTCTTTATGGCGCAAACGAATTTCAGTTTAATAGGATGAGAGGAACAACCTTAGTCAGAAGGAGACGTGTAGAAAAATTCAGTAAACGATAAAATTTGCATGTAAATCCTAACACTTTGCGCTGATCTCGTTCCACTTTCTTTCAAAAAATATTCAAATAAAACCGCTTTATACTTTGCAGTCCTAAGTACAGTCACGAGTTAAAGTCGAGTTTCAGACTGTTTAAGGGAGGTATTTCTGAAAACACTAATGAAACGTATACAGGAGACACACGCATCATCTATCGATCTATAGAACATACATACAAACTCCTCTCAGCAGACAAAAGCCCTACGGTGTGTTATACGATGAAACGTAAACGCAGCCAATCGATAACGACTATGTATAACATATTACTTACGTTTATGCCGGCAGGTCAAGTGTAATGAAACACATGGTAAAAAATTCGTACGATTGTCATTGACGGATGCGACAGTCAAATCGTAACTAACCTAACTCTCTGTAGGCCGGTCTAGTACTGAAGTATGCCTTTACCCCTAAATCCTCGAGCCGTATTACTTTGCACATCTATGACCACCGCGTTCAATGTCGTCCTATTCGAGTTCGTTTATCTCTGAAACTCCGAATTTCCACTCGATCGATGATGTCTAGAGACAAACTTTAAATAATCCTTGCTAAAGCAGTATGAGCTGCCACACAGAGGAGGTCCATAAATACTAAAGACACGACGACCCATTCCTGTTACACTAATCGCTAGAATTAACTTTCCCACAGACACGATTTCGCTACGTACCTCAAACGAAATGTCCGCTGTCTCCTTTAGTCCACCTAAATTCAGAATTATCCACAGCAGTGGTAAACGTTCATTGTTGTTTATGTTACTATCCACCGTCAGTGCAAAAAAGGGACGAGGGCTCTCCAACTATTAATGACGAAAAATTTTACACTAGCACGGTTTGACACACTTCATATATGCCCGGGCACGAATCTGTTATTATATTATTATACACACAATTAGTACTCACGCTCGTTTGAACTTTCGTCCGGTACGGCTTGATACACAAGACTTCAGAATGGCCACTGCATCTCCATTCCGTGGAGTGTTGTCACCTCACCACTTGTCTGACACTCGCAACAACCACAGATCGATTACACTTGTCGATAATGCTCGAGCGTCTGCAGTTAATAGCCTGACCCTTGTCACTCTCTTGATTTTTTAGCGTAAACTATAGGCTGTTCCGTACATGCGTTTACATCCGTAATCTCTAGCTGCGTATGTGTGTTTCTATTCTGAAGGAGCACGATTTTCTCACTGCTGTAGCCAGACCGCGCAGCTGGTTAACTATTGTAACTGGGAGCTCCGTACTATCTCCAAGATGTTGACTTCTACGGACCACGAGCTGATATGCGGAACAACTGAGCATGCACTGCTGTTGTGGTTGAGTCCTGAGGCGAGAGGTCGTCGTTGGTGGCGCCCCCTGTCGAGCATCCTGCGAGCGACAAGGCCTTGGGACAACACGTCTGTACGTCTCCTAAAGGCGACTATGCGCAACTTCCACAACACAAGCAGAGGACAGACTTTAAATGAGCCGCTGAAGCCGAGATACAAAATGCATCCCGATCTTTCGTTGCGACAGCCATGACTGGCGCGATCGCAGCAATGACAGCAACAAAGGCAAAATTTTGAAATTTCTGCTTTTACTTGTTCCTGTTTTATCCTGACCTTTTTCTCTCGTGTCACTACGAGCTTTGCTGCGCCTCAACGCATATCGTAGTGCGCCTGTGTTTGAGAGCAATAGCTAGGTGGAGTGCGGAGCTCTTCGTTAGTGTTACCTAAAGTCACAAACTCCGGCCTCCTTTTTCCACTCGTTACAGGTTAATGCTAGCATACTATGTATTGCATGACAGGGTGCAGGCTGTGTAAAATTTGTACCGCAATCAAATCGTTCCATAATATTCGCTTCTAGGATTGACTAGAAGAGATGGACTAAGTTGAACCACTGAACTGTTGAGCCGGCGGCCGTAGTGGTGGTAAATTCTAGATGCTGCCTTGTAAAGTGCTTGGCCTATATGGGTGCTTAGGCTGGCTGGTTTACGTGTTTGCTTGGTCATTGGATACTCCCTAGATCCAGCAATCTCTCTGTGAGCGAGCGAAGATCAATGATATCGGCTTATTGAATGCCGACGAATAGCTCCTCTCACTAGTTTGGCTTTGGAGTGCTCGCAAGGGCACTAACCCTACGCGCATGCGAGGTCTCGCTGCTTTTAGCTGCCGCGTCATACAATCGTCATTGGCATAGTTGTCGCCAAGGGTGGCAGCACCGTCAGTTACTTCCTCCTGATGCGTCTAGCATCAGCAAAAACCGCCGGAGTGGGTGAGCTCGTGTGCCTGCACAGGGGTAATTACAGAATTGCTTTCCTATAGGCGACGGCGCGACTCAGCCGTATAGCATCGTAATGCTCCTGTCTCTTTCTGAAATTGGCGTTCTTTAGTTTTTTGCATAGGAAAAGTGCGATGCCACTTTCGTATTTACTTCCAACGAACAAACATTCATCAGTGTCTTGAAGCGTCTACTTAATTTGAGTTATCATACGGTCAGAGCTAATGGTAACACACTGATGACTGCCGACGATTGGGTATCTGTAGAGCTGTGGTAGCTCTGAGGTAACCCATTTCTAAACGTTTAGCCCTTTACTTCATGTTCCGCCTTTCTTTCGGATATCTCCGAAGTCTCAATCGGGGCGCCTGATGCGTGCATCGGCTGCTTGTCGGTGCCCACCTACTTGGACTAATTTGATACAGTTTAACCAGTGTAGGCAATGACCTAACCTAGGTAATTTATAACTTAGCTTTCAACGGCAAACGATACATGCTAGATGCACGCCGTCACAACAGTTTCAACATCCGTTTATATTATCAATTTGATGTTGGGAATGCCACTCATTTCCGTCGACTTCTGACATCTCGTTAGTTGCGTAACGGTCTGCACGCTTTGGTGTGATGATCCTACATACTCATTACTTACTAGATAAGTACATTTGGGATCCTCCATGGGAAAAATGTGATTGGAAACAATGACAAACCAGTCAGAAACTCTGCCGGACTAGCTAGGCTACATAGCGGGTACCGCAGAAGGGGCGTTGCTGGCTTGTCCATGAGGAGCCATTGTGGTAAAGAGCTCGGCTTTGCTGACGAAAATTGCCTCTGGCCAGACGTTCAAATGATGCGGATCTTTTAAGTGGAATTTCGCTATGGCTTCAGCTTTCGTTAACAACATATAGTTGATAGATAGAACTGGTGTTATTCACGGTATTGATAATAAAAACGTTATTCTGGGGCGCCGCGATTCATGGTTTTCAAAATAGACTAAAGATTTAACATATGCGTAATATAATCTAAAAAGAGTCAGATGTATCTATAGTATGGCTGAGAATTTTTTGATTAATAATAAAAAAAAATTGAATAAACAAAGAATATGCGGCACGAGAAAAGATTTAGCATTGAGTCATAAAGTTACTTCGCAATACAAAAAAAGAAAACTGTTAATAGTTTAGTTGAATATATGCTATGAAACCATGCTTGCAAGTAGATGGATATCTTATAAAGGAGCTGTCGAATTTCCCCCTTTTTTAGAGGATATAAACTGTTGTAACACACTTATTATTTTGATACAGACTTGGATACGGGAAAACCTTGCACATATTGATAATGGCTCCTTTTGTGTTTTTCATTTGTGTTTGGTTAGGTAGAAACTTTCATGCTGCAACTATGAAGTATTCAACAGGCACGATTGACCTAATTCCGAAGGTCCTGGTCTATTCATAGGTACTTGTCTAATTATATTCGTAAGCGTTAATGCATTCTCTTGTTTTTCTACATCTATAAAAAAATTGACCCTCATGTTACACACACACATATATATATATATATATATATATATATATATATATATATATATATATGAGCATCGTTTTTTGGGGTACATTACGAAATTATAATCGATATGCTTTTATTACCGTAGAGTCATATTGTTGCATAATATTCCGCTTTATAGGAGGTTCGGGACCCAGGCTGACATGACTCGTTCCTTTTGTTTCACTCTTTCATAACCTTAATCTATTATTTCCAAACCTAGAGATAAGTTTTTTAGAAGTGTATGAAACATTTTCCTGCTAAAATCGTTTCGATAGCGATAGCCTTGGAAGTCTTTATATAAAACGGCCTGAATACAAAGAAAGTCACACTGCACACTTACCATATGCGCGCGTGTTTTTCTTTAACTAGTCTCACAATCATAAAGTGACGTCTATTTTTTCAAACTTTATCATTATATTATCATATTTAGTCCAACTGAGAATTTTCCAATTTCTTAGTTATCAGTAAATAACGGTAGATGCTTAATTGAGAGATGAGCGTATTGCGATTGTATCCTAAAATCTTGACCGTGCATTAGAAAAAAACAACTGGTGATTTTATGAGCAGTATTTAGTAGTATGACCCGGACTAACTTGCATTAGCTATAAAATCTAAACATGTTAATTGTACAACTCTAACTGCACAGAGTATTAGAATAAATGAGCTGCCTGAGTCCTTTTTCTTTGTTTGACTAACATTCAAAAGTCGTCGACGGTGCGCCGATTCTCATACACGTCAAAAACAAGCGCTCTGGCAGCAACAAGATGCGCAAGGGTTACGTAAACTTACGGTGACGCACTTGATTGTTACTTGATATCATACATCGCGTAATTTCGCGTCACCGTACGACAAAGGACCGTGCAAAGAAAGCTTTTCTAGCCTGCAAACAATGTGCCATACTGAACCATCGGTGTTGGGCGACCGAGCATGAGATTCGCGTACTGGGACTGCGTACGGCTTAATTGAACTTTTCGTCGTTTGCTGTAATCATTGAAATCGAAGAAGACTCGCTTGGCAGTAGCCGAGGCAGCAGGAGAAAGATCTGATCCTGACAAGTTTCTGACGGAGACGCCTCGCGCATGTCACCTCGTCTGGTTAATATCTAGCAGATCCCAATGAAGCACGTCGATTGTGGTGATGCGTTATACGACGTTGGCCATTCAGATATTTTGCGCAAAACAAGTCGTTTTATTATAAAAGAAGAAGAGAAGATCGAGAAGGGGATGATCGTATGTAAAAAAGGAAACCTAAGACCCAATTAGCCATAGTTCGAAAACATTAGTAAATACCATTATTACTAATGTCATAGCTTTTATTGCTGGAAATACAACAAATCCACTTGATAAATTCCAAAATATCATATAAATTTAATATTATATCAATTCATTGGCGCATGTTGAAGAGGCGAGATTCAGATATCCTACTATTCGTATTGCAACAAGATAGTACCTTCGAACGTAGCATAAGCTAGTACTGAATTGCTATATAGACGCAAGAACTTTGTCAATTCTAAGGTGCTGAGTATTCACATAATATTAATTGCTTAGATTAACTTATCAGCTTTTGTTCACTGGGGACTCGGTGCTCTGCTCACGACTTCGAAGGGATCGCGGCCGTAAACACAAGGAAGTGCTTGACAGCGGATACTGAGCTTGTACAACGAGCGCAAGGATACCATCGAAAAGCAGGAAGTATGGTTCACTAAGTTCTAAGAAAAATATATGCTTGTCTTTTCAACTTACATATTGCGTTAGGTCATAATATTCTAGACTAGTCATAATGTATTCCTAATGATCATATCGAGTTTTATACGTCTTAGGACCGCTTTGGGAAAACGGTCAGATGAAGCAGTTTAGGATTTGAGCAAAAATGCTATTCATTTACGTAGTCAGCCGGTTCTTCTGTGCTACAACAAGGAATATAAATAGCTGCCATATATGGAGCTGAACAGGCGAGATTGTTTATGGATAGAGGTTTAGTTGTAGAATCAGCAACTCCGATTGTTGATTGAAACTCGCATCATCTGCGAGGAATAATATATTTAAATCGTACTTTAAAGTTAAATACTTTACGAATTTCACTCCAGTAAGTGAACCAAGTATGCGTTTTACTTCTATAGTATACTTTTATATACAAAGCCAATTACTCCAAAAAAAAGTATTGAATAATTTAGAATAATCTATATAAGCTTTATATAGACTTCGAAACCTATGCATCCAGATCATGGTGGTATACCGTTTTTATTTAAAAGCCAACTTATGAATAGTAATAAAATTACATGTTTTATAGTCGAAATCACCCGATCGATTTGTATGTGTCTGACTAGAATCTGGGATTCTATAGCTCTAAGTTCTCCATGCTATAGCCTACATTGTCCCGTTGGGCAATACATAATAACATACCAAGCTTTCTGACGGTGTGAATAGCGAAAATAAAAAGATCAGCTTCAAAATCACAGCGTATAGACCTTTTAATAAATGATTCTTTATTTGGATTCGTCTCAATCTAAACTGAATCAATGGGGTCTCAAAGTATACAATTTTTGGCCCTTCACTGGCACTGTATAACCGAACAGAAATGGTCATATTAGAATGCGGGATAGTCTCGTGCACCGCGATTTGCACAGATTCTGTAAGAATTGAAGCTGGGATCATCTGGGTTTAAAGATGACCTTAAGTAAGGCAACACTTGATTGCTTCCGCCTTTCGACGTCTTTGATTTGGATAAAGGCAACAAAGCTGTCAATCACGTGTAAGCACGTCTACATAAAAGCAATGAACAAGTCCTTAGATAAATTATAAATTATTCTTTATTGCTGGCAACCGTTGTCCAACCGTTTGGGGGACATATCTACTCACAGCAGTATAAATAACATTACTCAACATCATCTATTACTACCATTGCTTCTCCCTTTGAAAATCTTCCTCAGAACACCTATTAATTGCTCGTTATTGTATTAATATCGGTTTTAGTTAAACGTTGCCCCCATTGTCGTTTAGATGTGAGGTAATTGAGCAGAACATATACGAAGAAACCTTGAGCCGTTGATCACATAGGCCTGATGACCTCACAGTCAGTTTCGTCCAGGTCACCAGAGCAGCCAGTTAGACTCAGAAACTGTTATTGTTTATATGCAGTCATTTTCACTCGACTTTTTGCTCATCGTAACTGAATCACTGCCATTATTAATCTATGATACAAATACCTGTGACAGACAATGGCGCTTTTCTATTTGTTTCGTGTTACAAGTTTTATGAAGTATGTATCGACAGAAATCGCTTGCTGACTTCGTATTAGCATTATTCTCTTTCACGACCCATCACACTTCCATCTAATGATGTATGAATGTGCATCATTATCATCAAAATCCACATCGACATTCGACCGCTTATTATATGGCCACACACATCACAAATGGACGCACATCTCGTTGTCGGTGCATGACTGACTGCAAAATTTCAACACAACACGCTACAAAAGCACGAGGTCCTTCGGCAGTTCAAAATTGCGCGCCATTTTCTGATAAGCAACTGAACAATCGAGCAGACAGAATCCAAAGATGACGTCCATTACCTTTTTCGTTTGTCTTGTTTACTAACTGTTTTAGCGGTTCGTGCCCTGGAGCGACGAACGGCCGGTACCGGGCAGCTACCACTACGACATTTACGAGTTCATGTCTACGGAAATGATATGATACGGATAAAGGTTTAGTGGCCAAAATGGATATGCCACAGTAACTGAACTATAAGCGGAATGAAAAATTTCTGTCAGTGACTTAAAATCGCTCTTCGAAATATATTTTGTGTTTGGAAAGAATTGGGAAAAAAATGAAACATGTTTTTATTTGTTGTTATTTTTGGTTGTATTACGCATTTTATGATACTGATGTTATTTATTGTCAAATTGTCTGCAATCCGGGTTCGGTTCCGTTTTTGCATCAAACTCTATCACTAGTAATAAGTACCGCGTAGAGAAAAACCGCGTTGTTGCTCAATATTAAATAATTTCTTTTGTTTTTGTTATAATATCAGTTTAGATTATTCCATTTTTGTTGTCTATTCATTGGTTAATTATTACTTGTTATTCTTGATGTGGCTCTAGTTGCGACAGCAGATGACACGGGCGATCGAATACAAAACGTTTGACGACGGCACTTCGTAACTGTTGCTACCGCCTGCCCGACGACAGCTTCGACGCCTCTTTGCCGCACATCAAATCATTTTGTCGTCCGGAAGGGGGAGACGTTTGGACCTATGAGCCCACAAACGTATAATAAACAAACAAATTGAAACCCTTATTATTACTAACTACACATAGTTGGTAGGAAAGACGATCAATTGTGGCGCTGTCGTGTCCTCCTCTTCTGTCATGTTTAGCTACCGCGTCTAGAAGTTTTCGTAATGGTGGATAAAATAGGGCAGCTTGCGGGCAGTATTGACCGTCTCGACAGATGTGTTGATCGTTTTGGTCAACGCCGTGGGACCGCACGAAAATACGCCTACTTTGCTTACATAGGCGTGCTGCATTTGAACAAAGCGGAGGAACGCCGTCATATCTGGACGCCCAAAGTGGTTAATTGCTTTAAGGCCCGTGAACATTGAGTGATTCGAAATTCGCTGGAAGTGATTTTCGCAGATGTACTGAAAAAATAGAAAAAAAATGCCATCACTAATGAGAGCGAATATAAAGTTAAATGCAAAACCCATTTTCCCTGTAAACAGCCCGACATTTAGAGCATACAATACGTGGCCACGACAATTTACCTTATATGGTATCGTTTTTGAAATTATCCTGTAAAAACACATGTGTAATTATTATTTCATATCAAAATCATTGTGGCTTTGCAATATGGTACAATCCAATAAACTTGTAACCGATGCCCACAAGTATCATAGACAAAATTGACCCCGTCGCTAATAGCCACTATATGATACTTTCGTAACATCATCGTCCGCGCCATCTATAGACATAAACATAAACTAGACAAGTGTCCATTAGGCAAACTGTACGGCATCGCTACTCACAATGCACAATAAAACGCTTGTGGTAACAACGTTTAGCTGTGAACTAGTTGAACCGTCACGCCAAAGGCAACGCAGCCGCTTAAAACGAAGTTGTTATAAAAAAACGTGGAGAATGCCTAGTGGGATGGCGTGGGATGTTCGTGGAAATGCGGACATCGTAAATGGTACCATACAGGTCTTTGCCCACCCATTTATTATCATGTCCAATGAAAGGCAGCAGCATATACTCGTTGGCGTATGCAAGAAGTGGCAGTCATAGCGACGATGGCTGTTCTCGCAGTAGACCGTGGTAGCAAAAGTGCTGCGGTGAAATCGCCTGGGAATTATTTACCCCTTGCACAAGCTTTCTCGCGTTTGCCCATACAACCACCCATCCTTAACGGAGCTTTACCCTTTCATTGATTCAGACTTGTGTGAGAAAAGATCCGCCTCACATTTGCTTAGTGTTACAGGATACGTATTACTTACCACTTTCCTTCACTTCGATTCGTTGCCATTAACCCCGTATAGCGCGCAATACAGAAACTATGGCAAGGCAATGATGAAGAGAGAAGGCGTTGTGTCAAATATAGTTATTTTTCTTTCTATACCGTTTGACCTTTTTTTTTGCCCACATGTGAAACATTCTTGCCGACCTTCCAGCATTTCCCTCACTTGTGTCTTCACTCGTGTTAACGCGGCGAAATACAGGGGGTAGTTGTCAAGCAAACGCTCCCATTGGGCAAATTAATGATCAATCTAAGACACAGGGAAATACATCGCGAATCCTTCAATGTATATTTGTGCGTGAAGCTTGTTAACAGCGTCCCCCTCCAATTCATTCCTATCCCTGTAATATTCCCCTGTTCGAGTGCATATGTGTTGTGATAATACAAGTTTGCTTTCTTAGCAGTGACTTTTTTAAACCAGCAGAGATACATCTGTTTGCGTCTAATATATTCAGTTTACCATCTAAATACATATAGAAGACAGGTTACTAATTCATTTCAGGAGTCTATTCAGTTATACAAGTATGAAGGCCAAGCGACCAGTTTTTGCATTTGTTATTTCTTGCGTTCGCGTATATGACCGCATGTTCCGAAAACCAGTCTACATTATGTATCGACATGGTAAAATCTATGTCTAGATGACACCGCTGCTTTGCTAGTGTAGAAACCAAATTTGATGGTTTAATATTCACTTACCAACATTGTTGTACGTAGATCAAATTTGTGGAAGAACTGTGTGATAAATATGTGGATTTCAAGGACGTTAGTAACATCCTTCCGCTCTACGTCTCGTAGAACGTCGATGAACCATTCGAAATGTTTATGCGAAGGACAAATCCAAAGGAAGTATACCTGCAGCAAAAGCAGGCCGTGGTGATTAATGAGTTTGGCCTATTAGACACTTATGGAAAGCTACTATCTATACATGTTCAGCTATACATATTCTCTAGACGATCCTAAATCAACATAAGTCATAGGCCATCGTTTTCAAATTGGAACGAAGAAGTTGCGTATGTACGTTATGATTTTCGCCACGAACATATAAACGTCCACAATTACATTAGAAAAAGTAACATCCAATTTTTTGTTCTGGCTGAAATCAGGTATGTTCATTGTCCTGTATTATCGACCAAATTCTCAATCACTTCTTGCTCAATATGCTATTGTAGACCTAGAGAATAATATTAATTTCGGGCGGCTATCCAGAAGCACTGGATCCTGTACAATTGACTTTAAAAGGGGACAAACTAGTTTAATAGAGAACGTACCTTTTTGCAGGCCACGCCGGAATAACGATTCGTTGATGTTCCGAACACGAGGTCGTTAAGAATAGATGCATATGGGGTGACGCCTATGCCGCCTCCGACCATGACGGCTATTTCGAATTTGTACCTATGGAGAAGGAAACCGTACAGTGGTATAAAGAGCAGTTCAAACCTCCGTCCAGCAGTTCAGACCCCCCTGTTACATGCAGTAAGCTTTTCTTAGTCGCTGCCTTTTCTTAAAAAAAAGATGCTGACCCAGCAGCATAGACAGCATTTGCCCATGTCAATATAAGTAGAAACGGCTGGCCATTCGAGTTCGTTCAAGTAGAACAGACATCTCCCTACTGACAAACCTTCTTACTGGCCATTTGAATGTTGCAGCTCGTCGAGAAAAAAAGCTCAATCCTTTTTGGCTAGGTTTCAATCATTCACGGTTTTTCACATAGGTTGCTTGTTGGCTTGAGCCAGGCTCGCTATCCGAACGCTCGTTTCACATCTAGTGGTTGATTGGTACAAATGCGACGCGGTTATTATCAAGCGTCTGCTATATCCACTACGTCTGTCACCATTTCCTTACCTTTCCTAAACGTAGTTTCCCCCTAAACTACTACTGTTACAAGTAGTCATGCTGTAGGCTGAACGAACGCAGCAAGGCCCACCCTAGATTCCGGCGTGCAAATCGAGATGCGAATCACTTACCAGTCTTGGTTGCCACCCCCGAACGGTCCCTCGAGACGGATCTTAGGAGCGGCCCGATCAGGCAGGTTGTTTGGATCGAAGTAGTTTCTTAGCTTCCACGTCCACGGCCCTTGCGCTTTGACGTGGACCGAAAGGAAGTTATCGTGCGGTGCCGAGGTCAGTGTCAGAGAGTGGTACTCGTTTGACCGGAAACCAGTACACGAGATGCGAGCCTACGAATAGTAGCGGGTTGTGTGAATATTGTGTGACAGCCAACAGAGCGGCAGCGGCAACGGCCGGGAGTAGAAACAGGTATTGCAGGCGTTGAGGCAGTGGCCGGCGAAGGCGACAGTAGACGACAACGACGATGGTGAAGACAATAACAATGAGAGAATGGCAAAGAAAAACAGAATGAGTAGAGGTCAAGTTGTTTGTTCGCTCCTTGGGGAGTTATCCAGGGAAGGTGGCACCGACAGCACGCATACATGAACGAACATATACAAACAAGAAAGACTCTACAGCCAAACAGGGGCGAGTAGTGGGCAACGAGCCACAACCAAAGACATCCGGGCAAAGAAGTCGTCACCAGCTTTGCTAGGACCCGTTTGACCAGTCCATTGCCCGTCCGAAAGGACCTACTCTCGCTGCTTCCCTGCCACGTCCATTACTCCGGATCGGGTGACATCCAGCAAAGCGCCACTGGATTAGAATACGGGGCGACGCACGAAAACGGCTAGAAGTTCCCTTCGCTCTTACGGTTTTGCTCCGCCTTTACTGGCGCTATTTGCAGGAGCATCACACGTAAAGAACTAACGTTTCGTTTTGTGGAAAAAAGGCCAAAGGCAACTAGGAAGCTACTCCCATAATATAGTATTGGCATGCTCGATTAGCTTGTCAGCTTCGCGTACCTATTGTTGCTTGCCAACATAACGGATTTGGTTAACCCTTAGGGTGTGGCCAGTTTGCTAGAAGGTTGGCAGTACTGCATATGGCTGTTTTCTCAGCAGGCGAAATTATACTGTATATTTATGGTAAAACAAGTTCTATAGTTAAATTGGATAGAAAAAAATGTACGTACCCATTGACCCGAAAGGTATTTGAAGCTAGGCGGTCGAGCAAATTTTACCTTGGTGACATCACTGGGAAGTAAGTCTGTATCAAGTACCTCTAATTCCATGTATTTGGTCTGCAATGAAACGACTTTGTCCAGGATAAATATAATTCCGGGGATTATGAAGAAGATCCAAAACCGCGGACTCTGTGAAGCCAGCAAAAAACATAAATTGAGATAATCAAAAACTTATGCAGTTAAGGTGCTAAGTTACATTGATTAAGCCGGTCAAAAGAACAACGTGACATTAAGAAGCAAGACTAGCCCAGCCAGGATCCAAAGGAGAAACGCTAGGCCAAAGTAAAAAGAACTGCTGACACCAAGAAGAAAGGTGTGTAGCTACATTAGGCTTGAAAATAGTGTAATATGGAGAAACAGAAACGAGATGAGCCATTGTTCCTTTTGTCCTATTCATTTTAAAACAAAAAAAAACGTCAGACAGTTAAAACGACAATATAAAAAGCAAAAAAACGAGATTGAAGAAAGTAAAACGCTCAGCTTCTATGCGTTTGGACAAAGGGAGACGAGGGCAAATGAAGTTCTTGCTGTCGTGATGACGCAACAGCTCTGTTTTCTGTGGCCGCCAAGACGACTGAAACGCGAGCTCTCGTCGAGGCAAGGCCGTAACTCGTTCAAAGCTGCCGGGACACATTAGAGAGTTACTGCCAGTTTGTCCAAGTCACGTTAGCTGGGTCGCGCCCTCGCAGCGATTAAGTATTAAGTTAAGGTTATGTGAACGTAAACGCTAACTGTCGGTTGTCAAGGAAAGCTGTTGCGATAGCAGACGGTCGGGCGTTGACGAGGTCGTTGGCAGACACGGCTGTTAAGGGGATTTGAGGAGAATTGAGTGGAGGTATAAGGGGAAGGGCAAGCTACCTGGTTAGAAGGTGAATGAGAGCTTAGAAAGGTAAGACAGAAACGGCACAAGGAAAAACGGGCGGATCGATTCTTACTCCAGTCAACTTGGCCTGACCATGAAGAAGACAGAGAATGTAGAATAGGTAATAGAGCTTATGGGTCGACCAAAAGTAGCTGTACGCCTTGAGACGAATGCTTGTGTGAGCGAACACATAGATGACGCTGAGAACAGCATAGAGAAGAAGACCAGTCGTGCCCGTGATCGTCTGGAACACCCAGAAAGAAAACTGTGATTTGAAATCCGAGTCGAACTGCATTTCCCTTGTCATGCACCGCAGGTGCTCAGCCGGCTGGGTCGACACGTGGTAGAAGTTGATATAGTGCCCGATTGTGTGGATGACTGCAATACACGAGCGGATATAAGCATTATAGATCGAAAATTCGACTCGGTAACAGCATCTATACTTGATATACCGCCTAGATGAAAGGCTGTAAAATGGCCAAGCAAAAAGCCTTTAAGAGAATAAAATATGGTATCGACAGCTGATGTTTTTTCTTGAAATAAATAGCGCTTTATTAAGACGGCTTTTTTGAGTAGTTAAAGGCCAAAGCAGAATAACGGTCACGAGGCTTCTGTTTCACTCAAACATCTCTATAGTACTAGGAACATCTGTATCGGGAACGTCTACCACATGATCGTATTAAAAGGATACCTACTTGAAAATACAGCCCCGGTACAGGCGACTATTTTGTGGAACTGCACATGAGAGTCCAGCGGAATGTACTGCTGAATCGGAGTTTCTCGGATTTTCGTAATCAGATTGCGGCACATCGTCAGCAGAAGAACTGAGTAAGCAAACGAAAGCGAAGCGGCCGACCCTCTGGTGATCGCGATGCCAGCACCCATCACGTGCCGAAGATCCATGTGCTCGGCCTGATAAGAATAGTCTGCAATAACGAGGAGAACGCAGCGTATGTTTGCAAAGTGAAATCGATATAAATTGTCGTATACAAATTAAATAACACCGCCATTTACGGATTGTATATCGTGGGCTTATGTGGCCACGTCGTAAATTACTGATACGTTCGGTTCCTCCGTTACGACAAGTACTTTGACATACAGCAGCTTCCTTTATGGCTGATTAAGTGGCAAATAGTATTTATATCCGTACAAACTATTCAAGTGCCGGCATAATTCATTGAGGGGAAAATATAAATCAGGACAGGATTTCAAATACATAAGATCGTGTATATCAAAAAATATTAGAGTATTATGAACTCTTTCTAAGGGTAGCGCCTCCTAGTAATGTGATTTTTTATTAAGTAAAGAAAATAACTTTAAAAAAAGAGCAGGATAAGATACAGGACAAAACAAAAGCAATAATACAAAAAATAACTTACGCGCTTATTTTAATCGAGAAAAAGCCGAGTTGCGAATGTGGACCAATATAATAAAATTTTAAATAACATAAGGCACATTTTGCGCATATTAAAGAAACGGTTCTATATTGCTAGATCTATATAGCTAAGCTCTATTACCCAATTGTCAATTACTCGAAATCGGCTGTCATAGAAAGGCGACTAACCCGTTTTCAATTATTTGTAGCAATCGCGGAACATCATCCGCTTTGCAGTGGATTCTAGCAATAGGCCTCTACCAAGTAACCCTTGTATTAATGAGTGAGGTCGCCTGAATCTGACGCTGATGATGGCGGTAAGGAAAAAGTAACCCCAGTGACATTGATAACATGTGCGTTGTTATTGCATTGTAACCGGATCATGACACGCTAGAACGAGCTGTTTAACGTTCAATATGCGTTTATGAGTGTATATAAATATTAGGGTTCGCGCGGCAGGCAGTATGAATACTATATGGATATACCTATTTCGATAGCAATACCACTTTTATAAGTAGAAGGAGCAGTCTTCAACAAACCCACAAATCGGTACGCTTTACGAACTACTGATTTCATCTGCGCTGATGCCGCTACCACAGCGTTCGAACTTCTAGCGTTAATGGAGTCGACAATGTTCCCTCAATAGACATACCGACGGTCAGGTCTCCCACTTGAAAGTTGGGCTCAGCTACCTTCAGTCGCTCGGAATTCATCGATAGTAGTTGTGATCGTAGTTTAGTTCGCTTTATTATGAGTTATCTGTAAACGATCAAACGAGGCACCTGCTGCTAGGCAGCCGTCATCAACACGTATGGCATGCGACCAGCAAATATGTAAACATTTGCGGCAGATCCGTACGCAAATAATCCCAAGTTTTCCGTGTGACCAGCAAGGCGCGATTATCGGGTCGACATTCATCGACCGATCGACTGTTACCGCGCGAACCTCCTTCAGTCTCTGCCGTACACAAGCAGAGCAGAATGGGTGAGTCTGAGTGGAATACCCACTTCCCCGTAGCTCAGAGTTTATTAATTTATTTCCATTTTGCAGCCGACATCTCTGCCGCTACTGGGTATCCATTAATACTTGGGTTGACCCGAAGCTTGGCCATTGCCCAACAAGCACTGATACGCAGTGAACTGTAATAGTTGACGAGTTTACAAGTTCGTTAGGTGATGAATGATCTCTGTCTACTTTTCCTGGAAGCGAGCCTTCTTGCCTCATATTTTAATGAGTGGCAAATTCGTACGAATAAAGATAACCTTGTCGACGCAGTCGTCCAGCATATTCGGCGTGTCCAGCAGGACTGATTTCAGACAGACGCCTATTCTTGGACACTTGCAGCATATCTATGTAGAACGGATGCTTTATGACGTTTTTCGAAGCGCGTTTAAGCGATCCTGTAGGAAGGTTTTGTTGTTTTTGTCATAACAACAAGTTTTGTCCTGCGGACAGTGAACTTGCAGTTGCGTAATGTACTAGCTCAGACGAAATTGCTACATGGTTAGTGAAACACATAAAAACAGTATACATAATGGGGAAATATATGAAATGATTTTAGTAATAATAATAACAGTCCTTTTAGCAAACTATTCCTATGTGTATTTCACTTACAAAAATAACGCTCGAAGAACAAGACAAAAGTGGTCACATAGAACACGAAGATGTAGAATATATGTTGGCGATTCTCTTCGAGAAAAGTGGTAATTTCATTCCATTTCTGAACTGCTTTAGATGGTCGAGGTTCGTGATTCTGAGGGATCTGAAACGACGTCATGCGCGCGACGTTTGTCGAGGTGTCCAAGAAGTTCTGGTTCGCCCCTGGAAAATTTTGCAATGAGCGCAAACCATACTCAAATAGTAAATATACGAAAAAGTTTGCAAAACCACATCAATTCCCATGAGATTGAAACCTATGATTCCAGGTCTCCAGCAATTGCCCTACGCCATCTCGGCGGACAGACCCTGTAGAATTAGACGTAAACCTGAATTTACGCCGAATGTATATGTACTCTCTGGTAACAGGTAGTTTTTCCGTGTTATAACAGTTGTCTATTTAAAGTTTGAGTCATGAACCTCAAGAATTTTTTCATCTAATTTTACACACTGAGTAACTTCGACCAAGTCATTCGCTTAGGGGGCATCAAACTAAATTCTATTCAAAAAGCTATACGTATGAGCCACCAGAACATTTAAGTTAGTATAAAAACGAACCCTTGCAATCAAGCCCAATCGCTATGAAGTCGCCACGGTACTCCTTCATAATAGCCTTGAAGTCATCGTAGTCCAGTCGGTCTTTATTCTCTAATCCAGCAGTAGCAAACATCCCCTGGATTATTTCCATGGTCTGGTGCTCCGTAAGCGAATTTGCCTTAGCAATATCAACAAGTGAACGCAGCATTTTGGTCAACTCCTCCTTGTCAATAACTCCATTTCCATCATTATCGCACATATCAAATATGATACGAAATTTGTCTTCGGATTTACCCCTGTAACAGAAATACACAAAAAAAACAGATAATTTTCATTAGATTAATAAGAACATTAAAACATGTTATATACCAAATACTAACAGGTACGAAAAATTAGAGTCAACTTCTTGTAGCTACATATCGCTCCTTACGGCATATCATTGTTTAACAACCACAAAGAAAGCCTAGCAAGCCTCGAAATTGTGCTATTGCATGCTGTGTGTAGTTGCACAATGTTCTGCTCAAGCGAGACGAACGGCAAATTCGGATCAGGTGGCATTCTTTCTAATATTATAATAATTTATATCTATCTTTATATATTACTAATTATCTAATATTATATTTTATTTAATATTAATTTGTAGTCTCCGGTCCTCGATTTCATAGTAAATGGCTGTACATATAACAAGAGGCATCACACGTGAATACTATTATAGAATAGGCTTACACGGCCGTATAAACGAGATCGTCGGTTAGCGAGCAAGACCCTGCGAGTTTTACGTGCCTTAACATTACCTTAAATGGCATGGATCTTAACTCTGTTCGTGAAGAGCTATCTAGTCTTCAAAGCGTATTTATGCAGTATATGGTAGGCAAATACGCCTACATGTTCAATGCTAGGCGGAATTATACGAATCCCTTTTTGTGCGTTCTCGACTATTTTACCCTGCACATAACCACTAAAGGATTGCGCGGAACCTAGATGAGCAAATGAAAAGAGCTTTTGCAACGCTTTCCTTCCTGTAACACTTAGTCTAAATAGTAACGTCGCGGAAGCCATTAGATCTTGTAGAAGCCCCTTACGTTCCCAACGACTATTTCAAGCACATATTAACGCTTTGCCGCTTTTTTACGCTGGTACTTTATCAGCTCCATATCTGCGCTGCAATGACTATTTTTCTATGACGGAGGTTTTCCACACCACTTTTCCATTTCGTGCACCCAAGAGGCTTCGCTTTTGCATCAACCTTTACACTACACCGCCGTAGGGTCCATCTATATGCCCTGCGAAACATGAAATGAACTATTCGGCCTCTTTTGCTGCTATCGGCCAACCAGACAACAGCAGCTCCGTTTAGGCCGGCGTCCGGTGTATTTAGCGACCCTCAAGAAGGACCACTTTGCTGCTTGGTACCTGGCTCATGACAAGAAATTGCAGCCACCAGGAGATCCTGGTCGTCGAAAGAGGACTGGCAAGACGGGTAAGAAAAGGATCTGGGCTGTAATACTTACCCATCTGTATGGTGATACATTTGCGCCTGGACTCCTGCCTTTACCACTCTTTTTGTCCCTTTCGCTTACTCTAGTTAACAACATCCTTCTTTGCCCTAGTATCAGTACAAAAGCTATATACACCACTGTTAGGACGCGAACGGACTTACCCGTTAACATGGTACACAGATACGCAGGCTATCCATACAACATGCCCTCGTTCATCGTTCTGTTTCCAATGCGCCATAGTCCCAATGCTGAAAAAGAGGCTGGCTCAGTAACCCAGATCTAGTTATTCTCGTGCGCCACTAACTGGTCAATGGCCTGCCTCTTTTCTCTTACGCGAATGCCTGGGCCGCGGGAGTCGACAAGCAAGTCGGTGGCTAGCAGATCGTCATGCTTGCTTCAGCAGGCGGTAACAGAGGAGAATGGCAGATAAACTTTCATCGGAAATACCTCCATTCAGATAGAGTCCTGTTGGATCGTATAGGATGGTACTAATGTCTACAATGTTGCAACGGCAGCTGGCGAGAAACCTGAGCAATCGGATAACTGAAACAGACCTGCTAACTGTCAGAACGTAGGGGAACATAGTGGAGACCACGATGACGAGCACTGAACGGATGAACGCGTTTGACACGACCATGCTCGGCAGAATTGCTGGTCCTCGCTGACACGTTGCTTAGTCCTTGAATAGACGCCGTTGTATGTGATCGAAACTATCACCAGCAACGGTTGCTGGTTCAATGTTTTAAGCCTAACCGAAGTCAGCTTGTTTGTTCCCCTATTCAAAAAATCCAGTTACGCCCATCTCTAATACATTCTTCTTCTACAACTAACTCAGTTGTTTCGCAGTGCTTAATAGCGTCGGCAGCGTGCGCCAAACGCACGGAAAATGATGCCCATCCCCCGATTAGGTTCGGAGGGTGGAGAGCGTCAGTGATATGTCGGAAGTCGGCAGTTGCTCATGGACTGCAATTTCAATCCCCCCAGGAAGACATTTATCAAAATTAATCGTGTATTCAGCAAATATCGAATTGCTGACGTCACTTAGCCAGAGGTAACTGCCACAATCGCTACTGTCGTACGCTGCTTGCGTCGATAAATATGCTTACCAGTGAAAAAGTACAGGATATTTTGTTGATGCTGAAGCGAGATGCAGCATTGGTAGCAGACGCCATTTTGAACTTGAGTGGCATCTTAGTACAACGGGTGTGGTCGAGAATCGTTCCGTTGTTGAAAGCTCCTGTTCTCACATATGCTAGACCTACGCTTATATTCGAGCATGTAGGGTAATGATATAAGGAGTGTTGAGCATTTACAGTATTCACTACAATAAACATAATCGCAATCATTTAAATATGTACTCATTTAGAACAAAGCGTGTACCTCCAACTGACCTAAAGACCTCGGAACGGGGTATCGTTCGACTGTTCGTTCTTTTTGTACCTGTGAAGACCACGTCTCTGATCGAAAATGACCACAACAACTTAACTCTATTCAAACTGGCTGCAAAAGCTTACTCTTCTTGATGGGAACTTTTCTTTGTTAAGCTCAGGAAGACACTAGCAGATTTGTTTAATCATTTGACCACCCTCTTGATTTGTTTCTATTGCTATCACGAAGTATAACTTAATTATAGCAGTGATGTGAAGTTTTGATGATTACACAGATCCGATAAATGAACATAAGGAATCACCAAATTGATTATAAAAAAAAAAAACCTAAAGTGCCTAAAACACCTAAACATTACAGCATAAAACAGATAATTTTCAAATAGTTCTAAGAACCCCAGAGCGATACATTGAAACAGCTTAATGGCCACGTCAAAAGTGACACAAGAGTGCCGTTCAAGCTTTAAACCAAACCAGATCGCCGTTTGACATCACACTAATTAGAGTAGAAACAATCGTTCACGTCACCTTAACAAGAAGGTAACCAAACAGAAGGTGAATCCCAATAGGACATCCGGCTCATCACACAAGCCAAAAAAAACACGAACATATATTGTCACGACCCGAGCAGTAGGCAACGGCCTATGCAACAGTAACGGTGACCCCGTGTAATCTTGTCGATATCGTAAGTTGATTTTGGCACAAATTTGTAGCCTAAAAGAGCTTAAAAACACTATCCTATGTCTGTCACGACTGCAAGCGCCTTTTTTGTCAGTGGTATAGCTTTACGTTGCGAGAAACATCTTCAATGTATGAGTTGGATCAATACTGGTAAGAGGGTGACTTAGTTAACTCACTGAGTACCCCTTAGCTTTACAAGCAGAACTATCTGTATTTACGATCTAGTCAGAGATGGGGAGCTTCAATGAATCGAACTCGCACTCAGAGTAGTAGATTTACCGAATGAATTTTCAAACGTGTTTTGTTTTGAAGACCAGACGCCAAGCCAGTAGTCCGAAAAGCATTGTTCTATTCGAAAAAAATATATGCGGTGTCTCGTGGGGCTTCGATAGGGAGGGACGTTCAGTAGAGTCCGTTGTCTTAACACACGTATATAAATGATCTCCATTAATTCTATACCGACGTTAAAATAGTGCGATTTAATTGAAAACCCCCATATCTGAATACAGGACGTGGGTGGGATAAGTTAGTGCAATCAATTACAATTAATTTCCCTTCCTCAAAATCCTAACTCGGGTAACGTAAAAAATAAACGAAGAGGAACATTACAAAACGATTGTCTCTCCGATTGAGTTATCTCTGCCTAAACATAGGCAAAATAAATACACTTGATACACTTGATAAAAAAAATGCTTTATCGGCCGGCTAGTTTTTTTTTTGAAAAAATGTAATTATGTACCATAATAATATATAATAATTACAATAAACTTGATTTACTGTTTAAAAAAGGTCAAGCTAGCTCAATCTTTATCCTTGCTAATTATCGGTTTGCGATACAACAACGATATCAATAACAAGGTGATCTCTTTCTGTGTCCCCCTGCTAACAACCTGTAGGCCACATAAAATATATACTCAAAATTAACGAACTGTAGGAATGGCTGATACGACTAAAATCATGATCGTCTATCTAGTATTTAGAACGCATCTGGTATTATAGTTGATCTGCAGCAGTTGGATGGATCCATATTTGCCAACGCCAGTCAACAGCATCCGTTTCGTGGTCTAACCTCGTTACGAATACCATATGGAAGTATAATGGTAAAATAGCGATAGGACAAAACGTGAAATGATGCAAGAGGTCCTCTACTCGAATGACGGACATCAACCAAACGGAAAAGTAGCTACTGCTTTGTCCTCGATATGAAAACGAAGCTATGTTGAACTCCACTCGGCGTGTGATAGTGCTGGAAGCGATCGATAATGTGCTTTCATTATCCATTTTCTATATGCAAATGGGTGTATACGTATGCTCATAATAGAGACGGTCGAATAACTTAACTACATGCGCTCTTTATTTATATGTATATATATATATATATATATATATATATATATAATGACAGGGTTACTTCTTGATAAATCTTAGAAAATACCTCTCAAACGTCACAACATCTGGCTATTTTTTTACCATTCATTTACTGCGACATTTTATGCGAGCGACATAACACAATGCAAGCAATAATATCACGTTAGTAATCGAGTGATGTGCGAAACTTATAAGCCACAAGCAAAAGTCAAACAGCAGTGCCCAAGAAGCCGTAATACTCGTTAATTATTATCGGTCTGATGTGGCCTATCGGTAATGGCAATTGCTTAATTGACACTTCTGAGGTTACGCCTAACGTATTCTGTTTTATGTAATTGACGACCAAATCCGCCAAATTACATGTCTGTTTTGTTCCTATATTTCCCATTGGGCCGACGTGTCACAACAAGTCGATAGCGTATCTTGGTGCCGTATGTATTGCAAAAAAAAGTCCACAAAATCAACTTAAAACGAAGAATAACAGCTTGTTATTATTCTAACGGGGAAATCTCTATCATTACTTTTACCACTGAACTGTACTAGCTACTGGGAAACCTCATGGGGGAAGCGGCTCCATATTTTCAGCCTCTATCTGTGCAGCGGCAGTTATTGGCGTTATCGTCGTCATTGACAAAACTGTGCGGAGGAGCTTGTGGTGATGACGCCTCGAGTAAGACGAAACCCTGTATCTAGAGTTACAAATTACATGGACAACGTCAGGGAACACCCGTCCTCCTTTTGACTTTAAGGGGTAGGGCTGCAAGTAGTCGTGGTTTCATGGGGCACAACATGGGGAAGTGGGGGAAAATGTGCTGTGAGAACAGCGCCGTAGGACTTTCCATCACGACGCAGACCAAAAAGGAGGAATTAAACCACAGACATTCGGTGCGGATCGAAGCACACGAATCCTGTTGGTTTCGGCAGAGGTCAACTGCGCGCTTTAGGGTTACGCCAAATCAAGCTCATATACAGTCACGTTTAAATACCTATACAAGGCCAGCACGACGGAAAGAGGTGCCAGCCGATACCCCGTTGCTGGCCCTGTGTGAAACCTCGAAGATAGCAAAGTTATAGGGGCAGTGCGTGCGTGCGTGCGTGTTCCTCTGGTTAGCGCCAATTGAAAAAAAACAAAGAAGGGGCAAGACCGTGAAACGTGGCAAGACGGCCAGCTCGATTAAACGTACTAAAACTCTACTTTGTTTCCATTATGAAGATAAAAGGCATTATTCGCTTAGCCGACATCTCTCGTTGGAGGCCTACGCGATCTCGCATTTTCATCTATAGCGCTTTATTGTGTGGTAGCAGCCATGTTTTTCTTGCTCGCTTGCAAAGGGGCTGAGATGCGAGAAAAGTATGAAATTCGACGGTGTCTTTTGCTGCCAGACTGATCCTAATACTTTTAATTTATGCAGATCGAATAACAGACACTTTGTTCTCAGTACGGGAGAACAAGCGCCAATTAGTTGAGTAGCCATTTGGTTTCAGCTATGTCGGGGAACTGTCTTATCTGTCGCTAATAACGGTGTTACTAAGGAAATTATTTTATATAGCCAACATAATTATCTTGGGTTACATTGATTTCGATCGTGCTGCGTTGATGCCTATCAAGGGGCAAGCCCAAATCAGCACGTATCCATTTTCTGAGGCCATGAGTGGCCTTGAACGAACCCACTGTACACCAGAGTGGCATGAACTAAGGCATTCCAAATATCCAAGGAGAACTACTCCTATTGAAACGGTCTACGCGGTTTTAGATGGCTGCAATATTGTTATCCTATCAGCTGTCTCTAAGGCACAAAGAAAGAGGGCAAGCAGGAACAATAGAGGACTTCCACGATGTCTGATCGGAAATTGTCACGACGGCCAGCGCCCGGCGAACAAAATACAAAATGAGAAGAAAACCAACAAAGCAAGTGTATTGTAGGGTGAATTCCTGGAAATTTTTCATTCGATTACCACCGGTCCGCTGCCAGGCCACTACTAGTAGGATCGTTGCCACGTCCTAGATCAGGATGGGGAGACGAGGGATCGAGGAACAGAAGGACTCGACTAAAGCAACGCTCGTCGTAAGGCGCAGCAACCACCCGATCCGATCGCAGCTGTGGCAACCAGCACTCGCTTGTTCTCCCTCAAAGGAATTTTGTGGCCAAGCGCCTCGACAACTACTTCTAGTGCTGCCGCCGCTGCTACGAAAAGGATTCTTCAGACCCAATGAATACAATTGAATAGTTTGCACACGACTGAGTAACGAAGGGCGCAGCAGGAGGCGACTGCGACCGGTGTATGAAGCATTGGGCATCGAAAACGAAAACGCCAAACTTGCGGAGGAAGTAAAAGTAACCTTCAGTACTTTGGTAACAACCGACGACAGGCCTCAGGAAGGCTTTGGCGACAGCTGCAGCTATGAGAACGATAGCCGCGACATCTGCACCACTTTCCGTTGCCCCCCAGGATGCACCTGCGTCGAGATGTCGCCAGCAGTATAGTGGTATTAAGCGAGTGTCGGCATTACAGGGTCTTCAGGGTTCGAATAAGCGATCAATACCACATTGCCGCCGAGCAACGAAATCGATCAAATCCGTTTTATCTACTTTATTTAGAATACTATGCCATAGAAATGAGAATAGTGTTCTTACGGTGCCTGATAGTCTCCGCACCTTGGCGAGTCGCGAGGTAACGAGGCTAAATAAAAACTCTACCTAATGGCTAAAATGGAACAAATTCCGTGAGTTTCTTGTTTTCTAGATTTCTAGACAGTAGATTATCCTTGCAATTTGAATTATTTTTCTGAAGCTGGTAGAATGTAATATGCGACAGTCGACCAATTTCTCCTTATAATATTTTACTAACATTAAGTGACACGTGGCGAACTTAAGGAAGGACCCTAACAGACGCATAGCGGTGAATCCTTCAGTTTGCAAGAATCATATCGTACTATATCTGTACACAGTTGCTTACCTTGTAAATAGGACGACCGTGTCGAGGAACTCTTGGAAAGATATACGACCGTCTTTGTCTTTGTCAACGCAGTTGAACATTTGTTTTACAAACAGCGAATCTGGTTTCATTCCAAGAGCTTCGGCGAATTCTTTCTTTGATAGGGATGTTCGCATCACCATAATAACGTCATTCCCAACCTGTTCCAATTTTCGTTTTTCTCCTGGTTTTAGCCCGAAGGTCTGCAACAAAGGCAAGCGAAATAAAAGCACAACGCTATTTCACCGAAGATTTTTTACAGGCTGTACATTGCGCTAGGTGATGTGGCTTCAAGTTACTTATCATTTTGGCAAGTAGACACCGCTATCGTATAGAAAATAGAAAAAAACGCATAGACAAACAAACAGCTGAGACAGTGTCATTAGAAACAGGGGAACCGCAATTGAAAGAACTGTGGCACACCTGTTCACTAGTAACCCATTTTTGCACGTCTTTTTTGTTGCTCGCTCATACCGTTTATTTTAAAATTAGATCGCTCAAGCTTTACCGGAGCTTTTTCAGAAAATAAAGCTGAAATGTTGATAAAAACATATATATATATATATATATATATATATATAGATATATATGAGCCAACGTACGCTATGGAAAATATATGAATTTTCTAAGAAGCATAAAACCCCGGCGTCAAGAGACTTACCAGTGCGTAGGCTTCCCGGAAGAAGTGTTCGAGTCTTTTTTGTCGTTTTTCCTTTGTTTCAGCGTTGGCCAACATGAGTTCTCTGTTATATAAGACGGGTGGCAGACATTAAAGTTTAAGCCAGAATAAACACGAAACAATCATAAGTATCTTTTTTTTTTTCATTTTACAACAGCCACTGCTGTTTAATAATTAACTATAAGCTGAAACATTATAGCCTCAGGCCCTGACTCCGACTTACCTGCTTGTACTCATGCATTCCATAGTCTTTTTGTGGTCATGAAGGAACTTTTCAAGTTTTCCCAAGAACTTTTTGCGCGAGTGATCGGAGTCGAATTGCAAAACCTGGCAATAAATAAAACAAAATATCAATTGCTTTTGCAGCCATTTAAGTTTTTTCTAACTTAATTTAAAACTTTAACTTAGGCGCGTGTAAAAACGGAAAAGACGCGGATGATATATTCAGTTAAAATTAAATTAGTTAGCCTTTCAGGGAGTTGACGCTTGGTCTAATTCCTATCCATTTAAAATTTCCAGTTAACAGCAAAACTGTCCAGCTTTATTTGTGATGCTGACCAGTTTAGTTTAACCACCGTGAAAATGCTGATCTCCCGAAAAGGTGTATCTCAAGAAGGTCTCAGTAAACAGACCGGTCTATTGCCTCATTTATATAGTGCTAATTTCAGCATTATTACCATACAAGTCTTGTAATAGTCGTTCCGTTTTGCTCATTTTGACGCTTTTCATTAGTTACTCAAGTTTCCTGTGCTATTCCCATTCAAAACAAAAAACACCCATTCAAACAGTCTGATGGTAGCGCTCTGCTCATTCTAAAATATCACCATAAGTAATATCGATTAGTTAGCGGTGTCCTCCGCATACGCAAACGAGTTTTCGTCCCCGATTCAATTCAGCGTACGAAACAGTTTGGCCAATCGCTATTAGGCAAAATTTCTAACATGGAATGATCGCTTAACATTGGTTTTCGCATGCCCAGGAGCATGTCTGCAAGTAAACAATCTAGACCAGTAGGCCTGGAATAGACCACCTACATAGGCCTTTTCTGTTCCGCAGTTTTGGCGTACTGCTACTTCCGAAGGAGGCGCCCAAGGGCAATGAAGCCGTGTGCATGCCCGGACGCTCGTATTGGCTGGACAACACATCCGTTCCACGGGAAGTCAGGGTGGGAGCCTTCGTGATGCTCGGATCCTCCGTTTAGGTCCTTGTTTCTGAGCCAAACTGGCAAGCTACCAGCGCGGATAACCAGTGTCGAAGCGTTTCAATGCCTGGCCCACTCATGGCTAATTCAACGAAATTGGATTAGGTAATATACCTATTCACCCAGCGACCGAGCGAGTGAGCGACTTGCAGGCCTCTGTATCGAACTGATGCCTAAAAGCCGATAATGTAGATGAGAATGCTATAAATGAGGATAGAACAGCGCCCAACTGTGAAAGGTTGAAGCAGGAGAGGGTCCAGGACGGAACGTCCAATTGTCTATCGTCGAGACAGCCGGCTTCGGTGATAGGGTGAGGAGAGAATGTAAATGAATTGAATATAAAACGACGACCTTGAGAGCAGGAGCTGGGGCTACTCTGAACTATACGAACTTAAGCAGGTCAACGACCCTGTTTCAAGGTCTTAATTTAAATGTTGGGATTCGCTAAAAATATTTCTATTATCATCAGATCATCGGTCCGTATTACAAACCGTAGTGATTTCTTTCATATTCGTTTAGCTGGGTTTCATTGTTACATTTAGATCCGGATTCCACAGAGCTTGCGTCTCCCTAGAGTTCGTGCCAAATATTCAGTTACATTCAAAACCAGTCCCGCGTAGGATCTATACAGGCGCAACTACATTACAATATTTGTAGTGTTTGTTTAGGTTTTTTATCCTTGTCACTGCCGCAATTTGTGTGTGCACCTGCGTTCAACACCTACCAGGTTACTCTGGTTAATAAGAGCCAGTCTTGTATAGACGTATGGGAAAAAGGATTACAGATTGACAGTGCCTTCCAATGCTGCCTTTCTATTATTCTTGCTGATACCGGCGACGCAAATGCCCAGCTCTTCGTGCCAGTCGAGGTATCGACTGACCCCAGTGGCCGGCGTGACAGCAACACCATGCCACCGAATTTAATGCCGCGCCATCGAACGCCGCCTGTTAGCTTCGACGAATTCCGTGGGGTGAGTTCATGAGATCGAAAGGGAGGGAAAGATGGTTTTCGCGCTTTCCTACGTCTGCTGCTGTCTTGCTTGATTTTGGATGCGAGGATCCGTCGACGACTCTAGACAACTTCAGGCTTTCAACAGCAGGAAGAGGTTAGTAACGGTGGCAGCGGAGGCAGCAGCTTTGCATACTACGCGACCCAGTCTGCTGCAGTTAAGTCGACAGGGGTCGAGTCGAGTCGAGTCAGTGACTGCGGAAGCTTTCGTAACCGTCCGCCGGCGACAGCGGCATCGACTGGGAAAATAGTTGGTCCAACAGAGGAGAACAACATCGATCCCAAATTGATCTTCAAAATAGTAGAATCGACTAGCGCCGAAAACGATCGTGCAGCAGACAATGATGCTTACGGTAGTGCCTAGAGTGTTTCTGACGCTTTTGCCAAGGCGCGCCAGGCTATCGCGAGCTATCCCAATATGGTGGTTGCGACGAACCTGTGGGGATGCTTACCACGGGGCACACATGGATCCCAAACGACAGCTCCTGGATGCAAGGAGCCGTATTGCATTTGCTTATTTATTCATAGCTTTCCACCAGTACTAAGCGAACAAGGTAGTATACATCATTTGGAATTGTATCACGACAATCGGTAGGAAAAAAATCTAAAGCTAGCTAGCACGAACAGCCATGTGAATGTGACTAATCTGGAAGAGAAAAAAATAACTGAGAAAGGGTCATTTCATATAGCGGGCTACTTCACACACGATAAGCACAACGCTGTTTGTAGAGGAAACAAATTCTGAGACGAAGGGCTTACGAAGGTTTCCTAAATTTAAAGCCAGAAAACTGATTCCCGTGATTAAAGCCTATCTGCCGTGATTATGGATGGTTAAATGAAGTAAACTACGGTAGGCGTGATGTTAACTCAAACTTAGAAAAGCGAAAGGGTCACGAAAAAGCAGATGAAATCGACGATGTAAGGGCAAACAGTTCATAAGATTTTCTGTGTAACAGAGAAGAAAACAGTGTGCTTACCAAATCGTGATCGTTGGGGGAGCGAATAAGGCACATGGGCTTGCGGGTGGTATCCGAGGTCACCTGCACAATAAGCTGTGGTACGGATGAAAATGAGACCTTCCGAAGGGTCTCGCCTTTACGGTTTACAGTATAAACGCTTTCGTCTGGACCGATTTTTACCTTGACGAATCGCTTGTGATTTTGATGGAGCCATTCCTTGACATCTGCAATCCCAAACAGACAATATATGAGATTACATGTATCCGCCATTGGCGGGGCTTGAAGTAGCAATTTCTGGTGTCGTTCAACCAGAACCACGACCGTCCATGTCACCGACCTATTGTGTAAAAGAGATATGTAGCTTTGTACTTGTGCACAAATCAATTTAGGATACTGTTACACCCTTGCTGGAGAATAATAGGTTTGTAGTTTATCAAACAGAGTACACGTAATAACGATGTTCGACATTAGCATCAGAAAAGCTTCGGCAATGACTCACAGAGTTTGTCCTGGGCTTTTCCATTTTTCACAATATCCTTCTTGGCCTTGATATCTCGACGCCTTTTATTCTGCAGTTTTATAACGCCATAGCCAACCATGCCGCAAACTGAAATGTGTGAAAGAAGAACGTTGTCAAAGTTGACATATAACAACATTTACTTGACTTATCAAAGCAACTCTTCCACTTTTTCCACGCAATTTTAAGGTATTACGCAAGAATAACATCTGCCTACCTCCAGGTGAATAGATTCTGCCATTACTGTCAGCTACTACAGTCATCGCACGCACTCACGCCACAGCTCATTCTCTGCCAGCTCCACTCTCACTGAATAGCCAAATCTGATCAAGCCCAGTTTTGACCGGCGTGTCGCTTTAGCTCTCGGGTTTAGCTCTTTTCCACGTGTTTTCCGTAAAGCATTCCTAAATTTCCCTAATAGTAACCAACCACGTCTGCCTGGAGTCGGCCTGACCTCCGTTTTGGCTTCTCCCTCATCGTGAAGTTCGTGTAAACGCTGCCGCCTAAGCGTTAATCTTTTCAATTTTCCAGTTGGCAAGCGCGCGGGAAACGTTGCTGACATTCTGAGTTCACTGCAGTCTCATTACAGGAGCCCTCTCCCCAGATGGATAGTTCGCCACGAGTTCGCTGCAGTCGTTCGTCGTGGTTGATTTTACCATGGTTACAGTACCGATGCTAGTCGAGTTGAGTGGAACGACCCGACTAGGACGGCGAAGCTGGCTTTCCGAGCAAGGTTGCCGGCTACAGCTACGCTTTTACCCCTCTTTAGCCCCCGCCTAAGGATCCCTGCCACTTCATCACAGTAGTGGCTTCACAGGTCGGCCTGTGTCGCGCTCTCATTTCAGTCATCACTCCGCCTGCACTAGCGGGAAGGACTGTTATCGGGAGTAGATGCCATCCCATTTGCCCATGTCAGAGGGGCTTGCAATGAAAACGAGGAAGCTCACAGAGATCCCGAAATAGGAAGAAGCTAGATACTTGCCTAGACGGGTTTCTCACTCTGCTTAGCTTTCTAGGGTTAGGCGCATATACAGTAGCGGCTTCCAGCCAATCTACCGCCATGGTCGTCGCCACTCTGTAGCAAGTTCTCACTATCTGCCTACCTCTAACGCGACCTCTTCTGACCCTATTTGGGGGTCTCGCATTTCCTGCTGAGGCTCTTTTACCCCCCACAGCTCGCGTTCTCTTTCCAAACCTCTCGCCTGTCTCGGCAGCTTTCCTCTGCATAGACCCTGCCACAACTGCGCTGCTGCTATTCACCTCCCAAATCTGCCTATACCTTTGACCCAATCCCTCATCCCTTATTTCGTCGTCGTTGTCGTTAGTGTCGCCCTGCTACAGGGAAAAGTCGGTTTTAGACCCTCCGCTTCGCTTGCCAACTGGTTTATCAACCTGGCATTTGGATGAAGGAGAGAGAAACCAATCTCGGCTGCCCATGTACGCTTTTCCCATCTGACCCTTGCTGCCCACGCAGGTAACGTCGGTGACCTGTGCGTGACAGGAGTGACTCTAACGACAGACAGGCTGTTTCGCGCATTTCTGCCAGTTCGCAGCGGCTAGTTGACGCAGCGAGACTAGCAGAGTTGGAAGGATGACAAAAACGGATGCAGTGCTGCCATGAGTCTACGACAAGCTGCACTGTGTATGACGACTGTTTTACTGTACACTTACACAGAGCATCGAAGGTATTCCCATACGGCATGATACTATACAGTGGAGCTAAGGCGTTAAATACCACACATTGTGTGACTGACCGACGGTTCTTTTCCTCTTTTGCGAAATGTATGCGATTCTGATAATGACAACGACAAACGGCCGACTACAGACATCAACAATAACAACCAAATTATGTGACTGCAGACGAGACCCGTTACCCATAGCACTATGAGGTATGAGCGATGAGATTTTAATGACGATTCGAGCGTCTAGAGTAACTAGCGAAAGCGTGAAAGAAAACATTGTGTTCACAGTAGGATTTAAACTAGTTTACAGCACTTACTGATGGGGATGAAGGCAAGAATTAGACAGCAATAGATATAGACAACTTCGTTGCCTCGAAAGTAATCCCATCCTTCGAGAATCATACAGGGCTCCAAGGCTGTGCTGTTGATTTGACCTGGCTGAGGGCAAGGATCATCTGGAAAAGCGGTGAGGAAAATAATCCGACCGGTGACTTATAGAGAAAAACGCTACTTCCAATAGAATCTCTTAGTTTTCGTTTATAACATCACGGTGTAGCTGTGATTGTATTACTAAGATTTGCTACTCGTACCAGCACGCGAAAGCACAATGCGTACGTTGACTTGGCATGCATCGATCTTTTTACTATTTGACATTAATATAATATAGGCCTTTCATTTAAACAAGACAGAACTGGGAAAACGGGAATCAAATGGAACCAAACATATTCTTATAGTATACGTACTGATTAAGGACATTATGGTGGTCCTAAAATAAGCGCCGGTCAATGAGAAGATAATGAGACTTTGACGTCCTTTGAGGCTTTGTTAGTAAAAAGGACTATGACTTACTGGAGGAGGCCCTTTACAGAACAGTATCATGATACCACTGTCCCCTTTTACCAACGTACTAATTAAAACCAAATTTCTTCAACTGGATTAAACAATAACGAATGCTACCTCAAAATTTGTATTAAAAGTATTTAGACAAACAACAAAATATTTATTTATAGTAGAGTAGCCTATTTATTAAAAATGAAGCTATTTCCTTGAAATGTGAATATGTATAATCGTACAATATTGTAAACGTGCAAATACGCCAGAAGAAAGACATAAACCGAAGACGGATATAAACCATTATCGCGCATACGCTTTATACTCTCACAATTATTATTATCTATATGCCGTGACGTGTATACGCGCGAATCATGTTCATAAAGGAGAAGCCTATCTTGTATTCCATTATCCCACGAAACAGAAATCGTACCTCCCGAATGAACGAAGACATTCCGTTGCATTGCTTCTGGGGGGATACTATCAGACGCGTTGACGATAACATCCCACAGAGATATTTTTCGAATTTGCTCGATCTCCTCCTTACTGAACAGGCCATTGTTTGTATTTTCAAACCAGAACCGATCGGCGTCCCGCAGACGTTCAAATTGCTCCTTGATAATCTTGCGGAAGAGCTCGCCTGGTCGTCCACCTTCGGACTCCAGCATGCCGCCGACGAACAAGTCGATATTGTTCAGATTACCTTTGTATAGCGTGTAGAGACGTTCGACGAGCTAACAGCAGGAATGAATATCGTTAATGGTTGGCAGGGTCAACAGGTTCCGATAAAGGTCGCAAAAAAGAAAGCGCACTCCATTAGAGGCAATGACAGAACACGCATGTCTATTACAAACTGGCTATTACTAACTGCTAGAGAACGAGAGGAAGAAGATGCGATAGGACGAAAGGAATAGCCGACAACCCCTGAGAGAGCCTGAGGGGCTAGTCGGAGATGCCTAGCCTCATCCAACAACGTCAGCCTGGCCTCTTAGCCAACCACCTAATCCGGGGGTGTCTAAACAGCAAACCAAGCCCATGTCGATGAGTAAGAGCCCAAAAGGCCGCTGCTGCTCACAAGCTATGAAGAATGGCCTAGGGCAAAATTGTGCCACTCGTCGTCAACACACAGTGGACAGCGATTACACGTACTGAACGTACACAACATGGCATGGCACGTTGTTGGCTGCTGCTCACACCTTTCTGTCCACCACACTCGCTCCAGGGGCACCGTCCGTGCAGGCAGGGGCAGCGGCTGCAGCAGCTGCGGCTAAAGCTCTAAATTAGATCTCTCAATCTTATATACTACAGCAGCTCTCGACTATAAGCTCGAGGGGCCGCAGGACTGGCGGCAGGCTGGGTATTAGCGAAGTAATAAAGGGCAATATACACTGCTACGACTAAGGAGGCAGGACAAGTCAGAAAATGGTCCGGGAACGAGAAGGCTTTTGTGGCCATTGGCGGCCTCGAGCATAGCGCATCTACTAAATGAATGTCAGAGAGAAATAGAGACTAACTAGGGGCAAAAAAGATCGAGCCAGCTCTAACCTTTTAGAGAAAAGACATGATCCTCATACCGTACTCACCTCCTGACTTGCTGACTTAAGCTTCTCGCCTATCGTCTGCCAGTCTGTGACTGGATCGAGATTGAAATATTTTCGCACGGTGTTGTAGTCCGGGAGGCCGCTGTCTCTACCTCGCATGATATCTAGTGCTGCGAGGTCGCGCCGGCTAAACTCCATCGGCCCGAATAGCTTGTCTGACGACGGTTAGAGAAGAAGAACAGAGAATACAAAATATAGTATGCTTAATTCGTTCCAAATACAATTTCTAATATATATATGTATTTACTAACATTGCGTAAACTATTTAGTAGGTTTTCACTAAACGTCCTTTGAATATTTAATTGATTACAAATACTGTTCAGTGGACACGTTCAGTCGCGTGTAGGTAAAGCGTTACAACGTGGTACTACTCATAGCTCTCAGCCTTCTGTAACTGGCTATAGCACCGCTATCTTGTCAGCATTGTTTCAAGTACTTGTTATTATGAAGAGGACTCAATGTCGCCGATCTGCAGAGACTGAGTAAGAGAAAAAGCTGCTATTGAATATTTTTCGCCTTTGTTGTATGTCGGATTCTTACTGAAGGACTAAGATGTGTTTATATCCAGACTCGAAGTTAGACCATTTCCGTGTTACTCCACTTAATCGGCAAACACGCTGCCACTGCGAGCTTATTATCAATTATCGATACTTAGTAAGCAATGCATTGCATGGAGCAATGCAAATGCCCAATTAGTAGCCAACAACTAATTAGAAAAACGTCTACTACATGACAGCTAACGCCTCAGCGCACAATTTCTTCATCATCCAATAGTGACTGTCTTCACTAACAGTCTGCATCCCCTGGACAGCTCCTCAGATTACTATATGCTACAATTATTCTTACCAGTAATACCACTACTAGTCGTGCCGGGTTATTTTTGTCATCGCCAAGAAGAAAGACAAGAACGAGTTTCATCAGAGGTCCGCTATGGGGGAGAGGGTACGAGCAAGGAATCTAGGACCGCTTCACTTAACTCGGCCTTAACATTAACGAGACTAGGTGACAAGCAGCTCGCTTACCGGGAACAACTTCCTGACAAAAGCCGGCTGAGCAAAGTCAAAGCCCAGCTAAAAAAAAGGTTTTGGTCTGTTTCCGTTCCTCTATGTTCCTTTACCGCCATGAATGAGCCAACATTTCACTGGGCGAGACTGACTCTGGACGAACGAGCTCGGGAGTAAAACAGAGTGTAGGGTAAGAGACACTGGTTCCTATCAGCGTTCCTACTACCATCAAACACCGTTTTCTTTTATTCTATCTGTGTGCTTTCATGTTCTACTCTACCTTTTTGACTAGAGCATTACCCCGCCCCGATCGGGTGGCATGATCATGTTTAGCTAATTGATCCGATACGTTCTGGCTCTGCATATCAAGAGCCCGCTGAGTCTGTTAGGAGCTCAATCGATGGACATTGAACCAACAAGAACGCTGCTTGGGAACTAATCAGTGCTTCGAAGAGCGAGTTGCGGGAGGGCAAAAGGCCGTAGAATAAGCACGGTGGAATACACACCAAAACTATAATGCATACACTAGCGCTCGGTACGGCCCGTTGTGCTACTTCTGTTATAGGGGGGTTTTGCCCGACGCAGTTGGAAGATTTTATGGGAAAACCTGAATAGATAGTAGGCAGAATTAACGTATTAAAAAAAAATTAGCTTATGCCAACTTTCGTATTCGTATGAACGTTTACTGATTTTTTGTGTCGTCGTCACTGAAAGGTGCATCACGTACACTAAGAACGTACCTCTTACATCGGAGCACATTACGTGATCCTCTTTCTCAGCAATCTGTGACGACATCCCCATAAGGAGCTCATCGATACCGTTTTCCAAGAGCACCTCTTCTGAAAGCCACCACGTCGAACACATCCGCATAGCGCTCCGTCCAGTTCGCGTTTTTGGGAAAGTGCAGTTAGCCGTCCTTTAAAAGATGCATAGTAGGTTATCAAGCAAATATTCATCGCATCTGGTTGAGCAAAAATATCGAACACTGAATGAAAAAAGAAGATAACGAAAGTATAGGATATATTGTTTCTAATTTTTCAGGTCATACTGTTAATCCATATCTACCCTGCACAACTAAATATAATAAAAACATGACACCGACGTACAAGTGTCGAAGCAGGTGAACATAATACAATATTTCCATTTCTATGTTAGGCGGTCCTTCGTCACGCAGTCGGGCACGTTGGTCCTAAATAATCTGTTCGTGTCTTATAAAATCGTTGATGATTACCAAATGCTCCCTTGTTCCTTCCATGATTGGCTGCACGTAGGACCACGTTTACGGTCGAGGCCAAAATCTACTTCTTGCACTCATTTGCAGCATTCAGCTGGGGCGATATGGCGAGGCAAAGGTGATTGTGAGAAACTCATATGGTGAAGAACAGCGAGTTCACTCGGTATGGATTTTTGCCATACCATTAGGCGTTGGGGTTGATATGGAAGCATGAGGTAGGGCCAGAGGCCGGAAGGGCAAACAGAGGAAAACGACTGGAGTAGAGGGAACGCGGGGTAGCGGACTTGGGCAGTCATCGTCCCACTGTTGACTACCGGCCAAGAAAAGAGAATGGAATTTTCAATGTATTTAGTAATAAAACGAAAATGAACCTTGTCGCCAGAATGCACGTGACGCCATAAGTTCGCTTCAAAAGTACGCGGATTGGTTGATATGCAATACGTACATTGGCTTGTGAGGTATGGTCTGCTGGTAGAGGGATGTTGGAGCTCGGCTCCTGAGAATTACCGCGTCATAGAGAGCCCCATCTCTCTCTCGCTCTTCATCTCTTGGTTTCTTTGTTCAGAATCATGGGAAGTCGAGGAACACAGAATTACTGGCGGGAAGAACTGTGAGAAAGGGAACTCACGAAGGGTGGTGATCGCTAGCGATTGATGCTACTGTGAGCAACGGCCGAAACTGGGCTCAAGTGTACACATGTGGGAATATAAATAAACGGCATAGAAAAGAAAAAAAGAAAAGCACGAGAAAGAACCGGGAGCTTATCATAAAACTCCTTTCTCGCCTAACCAGACCAGAATTCGTCCACCTGTTCGCTCACTCAGAGTTCATCACTCTATCCTCGAGCAATGGCAGCAGAGCTATTCTCAAATCATTGCCGCTTCGCATTTCAGCTCGTCCTTCACACTATCGCCGTCATTTGAGCAGTCGCTGGCGCTAGTTTCGCCGATAAAGCGTTCGGCATTTAGCTCTTATCGCCCCGTCCCTGCCGAGCAGCGCTCGTTCTGAAGTCCATGTCCTCCTCTGAGTCGGTCTGTCTGTCTACGGTCAACTTGATCCGTTGCAGCGTTGATGAAGAGTGGCCTCGCTTCTATCACCATTCATTGGGATGCTTATGTACTTATTTCAGGCAGGGAAAAAACGAATACTTTCATAAGCTGAGTATTTCGAGAAACAGGAAGGCCAGCAGAGGGGTTTGAGCAGACAGTTTTGAAAATTTGCGCCAATCATAGCGGTGTTCTCGGACCTCTGAGGCTAATAACGGCATACCGTGCCATAACCCCTTAAAGATATAAGCTACTGTACTAAATGATGAGGATTTTTCCCCGGCTTCTTGGGGAAAATCCTCATCCGAATCAGGGGCTTCTACTATATTTCTTGTACAATATTAACGGGCCGTACGATTCTTTGGCGAAGAGTGAACGTTTTTGTAACGTCGACCTTTAACAAACTTCCTCGAGAATGAAGAGAGTTTTCCAATATATCGCTGTTGATTCTAAGGTTCAATCTGCACATCGTTCAGAGTTTTTAATAAGCCCAAAAGCTAGTGGGGGCTGTACGTCGCCTGACTACCTACTGCCGTATATTGATTACTGCAGTTTACTACTAGCATTCCCCCTATATTGCAAATTTATATAAAAAAATATCGGATTTTATCTTAAACCTTCTGTAAAGTCCAGGTGGTATAGAGGTGTGGCTGAAACGGAAAGCGGCACTCTGGAACTCGTGACTGATGCCCGGATGAACATCGGGTTTGTAGCCGGAATATGGCGACATTGACTCGTCCAATAACGTTGGAACGTACTCGTACATAATGATATTCTGAAGACAAAAACAGTATCAAATAACATCAGCGTAAGAATAAAAACTACCTAATACGTCACGTTGTAAGCGAAAAAAAAATAATGACGTTTATCTGTAGAAAAATAAACAGACAAAGTCCGCGCTCTTTCTTCTAAGGCTAAAATTTAAAAAGACGTCTACCGTCTCGGGTTTCAAGTTTTATCTGTCCGTCAAGCATCTATTCTACCTACTAAACCGCACTATATCCATGCATGCGTACCAACTGCGTGATGCTATGATCTGTATCATGCAGGGTCTATGTTTTCCTAGCAGTGGTTTGTTGTTTTTGAATTTGAAGGGGCATCTATGAACCCCAGTGGTTATGAAAAAAATACAATTTTCTTGGCTTTCTTTTTCATGCCATGACATTTGTTTCAAAGAAGCTAGAAGGATCGGCGTTTTTCTCGGAGCGAATGGAGCGGGGAGGATTCGAACTCATTTTGTCTCGAACTTTGAACAACTCGCAGTTGTCAGCGTGGATCCACAAGATGACGCTGATGTCAACAAGCACCATAGTCTTTAGATGGTTTATGTTGTTGTGTATTCTTGTTTCATGTTTTTCGTTCTGTTTCAATGGATAGAGGCGCACACTAAAATCTTTATCCTGTGCGATTTTACACTCGCAAACAGCTCCCTTACTACTTTATATTTGCAAGTCGAAGACCGACAACTTGAACCTTGAAAACGAGTGCCAACCTTAAACAGTGTGGGTTATCAACATAGGTAGAAATGATAGGTACGTACGCGCGACAATTGCACATTATAAGGCGATAATAAGGATCTCTACTTGACCAGGAGATTCTATGCTATACCTAGATGCACATTCAACTATAAAAAAAACTCTAAAATCCTTTATGGAGCGACGAATCTTCTTCTCAGCTTCCATCATAGTTCATTTTAGTTTAAATTTAATCACCCGGTTAATAGTGTGCGTATATAATATAATATAAAACAATTTAATTGCTACTTTAGCAGCAGAACCTCTATCTATTCTCATGTATGCCTGCGTATTCATTGTGTCGTGGTTACATAGGGCAATTTCATAATGTCGACACAGTACCCAAGTCATGCCTGCAAAGTGAGGGGTTAACACAGAAATGCTCATCATTAGCGTAGCGGGAATGCAAAACCAGGCCAGCCTCTTAGCAAGGTCCTGCCTATGAACTGATAGACAGTCAACGAAAGAATGAGTCCTGTTAGGTACAAAGGCACCATTGACAAAGGCAAAGGGGAGAGTTGGGGAGAAAGGAAAGGGGCTAGGGGTGAAATGAAGGGGGCTGAAATGAGGATTGGACAGCGCAGCTGGGAGAAATAATCAGGACATTCTTTTCTGGATTCCATCATCAGGTCGTCTTTTGGTTGTTTCCTAATGACGGATTTTCAGCCAGTTAATGAGCCAGTCTAACTAGGCTAAATATTATCTCATGAAGCCAACGTCCATTTCGTTCTTGCGGGATAAATAGAAGCTGAATAGGTCGACCACGCACGGATCGACGTCTTGTGCTATGTATAAGCCTTAATTTTGCGTAAGTTAATACAATACTATACATCTATAATTCAATTAACGTAATAAGCCATAATTCAATTTTGTCTATTTTGATCGAACCGTGAATATATATATATATATATATATATATATATAGAATGGTGCGTCTAAGCCCGGACGTAATTACGAGTTGATTCTATGAACGTATCTAAATAAAAGCAGTTATTATAATAGAAGGTTTCATATTTGCTAAAAAGGTCACTCCTGATGCTTATGCTTGTTCAATAGACATGCCACCCACTACAATTGCAGCGTTCATTCGAAGCCTAAACCGCTCATAGGTTCGTTCCTAATATTCCCTTTGCAACTCTCCAAAAGCTTTTTTTGGCAATGGAACAAATGAGCGAGTCTACGCTGTCATGTAAAAGTTTACCCAACAGACTCATGCGTAATTTAATTTTATCTTCAATTCTATCTGGTCTGAACATATATGTATGATCAAACAGTCAATCTTGTACTAAGCGGCTGCTTCTACTTATTCTGCAGCCGTAGGCTCATTTGCTGTGTCCGATATACCATCCCGTTGAAAAACGCATGATCTTCTTAACGACCATTCAACTATCGGGCGATACGTTCACCCTTTCGGAAAAAGTATATTGAGTTGACACCTTTTTCACTAAACAGCGCAGCCTGAATAATATCATTGACTGAAAATTTGCTTTTGTGCTCCAGAGACACATTTCCTGGATTGGCAAGTAGCCAGCGATATATACTATGGTGAACTTTTGCATTGATAGCATTTTCTCGCTAGAAAAGAACTGAAAACAATTTGCTTCTTTTCTCTTACAAAAATTGCGGTGCAAACGACATTTTATCAAATCTCTTATTTTCCCAAAACACTGTCCAACTTTTATGCCATATGACAGCTTCCCGGGGGTCTTCAGAAACAAATCGAAATATCCTGCGAATATTCAGATCCAGTTTCTTTCGCTAACGCCTTGATCGAAACAAAGCGATGATCGGACACGTATTTTTGGACAATATCGATTAGCTACCGCGTTCGTACTGATCCTTTCTTGTCGTCAGTGTTCGGTTGTGCTTCTACTTATTCTGCAGCCGTAGGCTCATTTGCTGTGTCCTGACCGTCACTTTAGAATAACCCCACAAACTTATAATCTCTGCAAAGATCTTTGCATAATAGCCGATCTTAATCCGCATTTCCAAAGAACTGGCTTTCTTTTGAAACCAAAAATAGCGTACATGAGAAGGTACTGACCCTTTTTAAGCAAATAATGAAACAAACACTAATTAGATAATATTAATTAACTAAATGTGTACCATTACCTTAGAAGTAACTTAATAACTCTATTACCATAAAATTTTCGTGTTTTCTGTGCAAAAGTTCATGTTTGTGCACATATTTCTATTAAAACTAAACTTACACAATCAAAAAAAGTCCTCCGGAGAGAGAAACAGATGATGATCTGATAATGCAAAACTCAGACTATATACGACGGGTTCATTAAAATTTTCCAATTAACTTTTTCCATTTTTATGGGTTAGTTAAATATCTGTGGTCTACTATTGTCATGGTGGAAAATAATATCTTCGCTATTTACTAGTGCCAGTTAATTTTTTAATGGCTTGTTATAACGGCATCTTGTTAATGGTTTATTGCAATGTTTTTTTAGTTGTCAATAACTGAGATACAAACCAATTGTTTTGCCAGGCGGTAGTAACTTTTACTAACTACATAAGCTCATTTTCTCTATCTAATTTTTTACCGTGAGTGATTGACCGCTTTGGAAATAGCTTGATTTTTTTTTCGCAGCTTTACAGATGAAAATACGATGGAGAAGGTTCTTTAGTGTCAATTCATGTGGCATACAAACAACTTTTTATGGCCAACTTTCTCCAAATGGCTAAAAATTGTTTGGTGGTAGATGTTTAATTCGTATGACTACTTACCTGTCGGTACGTCTCAACTTTTTTCACATTTCATCAATATTTTTTTTTTTTAATTAGTTGACTACTACAAAGAGAATCTTTTACATCGGAACTCCCGGAACAAAAGCCACAATCTCCTTCAATAGCACATTTTAACAATGAATAGTAAACTTTTTTTTATTGGTCTGGGTATCATTGATGATTTTATAGTAATAAAATTGAAAATATAGCGATTTTTTTTCTGAAATTTCACTTATCTTCAAGGCTCTCTATTTTAAGCCTGCATTTTGAATGATTCCAACGGTGTCAGGTAAAAAATCGACTGCTACTCCAAATACTAGCTTTCAAATAACATGATAACCGATCTTCGACCCGATCAAACACCACACCGCCTCAAATATGTAGCTTCAAAAACCATCTAGCTAGAAAAAGGTCAATACTATGTCAACATGCTCATATACCAGATGTAGAACTTTGATGGTTTTCAACCTTAAATTAAACAGAACCAATCGTACACGTATATCCTACTTTTTTTACGATAACAACTCTATAAGTGCCTCGTATTAAGAATAGGACATTCGTCAAACGCTCTTTTTTATTGCGCTATTTCCAGTTTTAGTTTATAATGAGAATCTGAATTTGCAAGGGAAGATGATCATTTCAACGATTTAGAAAAAAAACGATCTTTTTTAAATCATTCATACATCCTCGTCTGTTTAAATCCTGCTAAATTAACGAATCGAACCGTACCTGAAGCGATGCGATAACCCATCTTCTGGCATGTAAAAAGATTTCCTCGTCACCCCAATCTGGGTGCTCTTTTAGGGCGCGCTCGGCGAGGACGTTATGCCACCGGTGGAACAGAATGCCGAAGGCTAGAAGACCTGGATTCTGATTTGTGCGAGGGTCGCCAAGGACTGCAGGTTTCGAGAATTAGAAAACATTGAAATGCTCTTAGTTAGCAGGGCATTCTAAAGAGAAATATTGCTCCTTCGATACATAACCCCATACGTGTTACTCCTCTCCAAAATTGCACAACCCTCCACCGGGTCATGCACTAACGGTCAGAATTCACTCATACAATTCATCTCAATAAATTGTACGTACAACTGATTACTGCTATTTTAACGTACCAAAAGAACCCATGACAACCAGTGACAGGAATCACATATTAGTTAATTGCCTACATATAATAATCTTCATCACGGCGCCTTAAATCAACAAATATTATGCAGATCCAAATATAATTTAATTATTATTATATGACACTGAACATACAAGTAATACTTGGCAAACCCTGCACGACGAAAGCTATTCCTGTTATGCCCTCATACACTTTTTAGTAGCCCCTTTGTCCACTGCCAGTTTAATTGTATTTAAACGCATATAGATACATAATACGTGTGTCAGTAAGAAGGGGTGTCAGTTTATTTATCGTCAATATCACTGGTCTTCTAATAGAATTTGTTATATTATTATTGCAATAAATGACACACTTTTTATTTAGGACATCAAACGGTGGTCTAATTGCTTCTAGCATCCTCTACCGCGTATTTTTATATATCTCACTTAAAAAAACAAAACAAATTATCCGCTTCTATTCAATCCGCATACTTATATCCCTTCTCTGTATCTACCTATAAAAAATATATCAACGTTCTTCAAGTCTTCTCGAACGACCGCCGCCTCACCAAGTGTGACTGTTTTCATCTTCGACTACCAATAATAACTAGATTTTGAGCACTTTCATCGCGGTTCATCACCCCCGGCCACATGGCATACGTAACGCTTCCATCAGTTTATTGGTGAAAGAAATTGTTTTTACATCCCGTACACATTATATCCTATATAGCCCTGTGGAACACCCAACCACGGCCACAACCAGCATCTGGGTGCAGCTACTTCGCATCGTTCCCCGAAAGCGACCGATTTACGAAACGGCCCCATAGTCGTCGATGACACCGATCGTTGCTCACGATAGTTGCGTCGCTTTTACTAGTCTGTACGTGCTATAGTGTTATAGAGCCGCAGCGTCCGTAGCGTTATCGTCTGTCAGCTCATGGAGTCGTCGGCTCGTCCAATTTCCGCCGACAGCGTTGCGCGGTCCGGCCCATCGCCTTTGTTATTGATAGCGATGTCTTGTTGTCGTTATATTTATTGTTGTTGTCGTCGTCATCGTGTCCGTTCTTGTTGTTGTTGCCGCTTCTGCTGCTACTTTCTGCACGTATTGCTGCTTCACCTTCTTATCACTGCCAGGTAGCGTTGGGAAGCCCGACTTCAGCCCGTAGCCGGCAGCAAGCAGCTTTAGTAGAGTGACAATGACTGCTTGATATTCCTTGTGCCTTCTCCTGTTCTTCTTCGGCGCCTTGTCCACTTCTTGTCATCATCATTCCCTTCCTGTGCGTTATATCTTTTTCGTTCTTTCGTCCCTTGGTAATAACCAGTAGAGGTAGGCCTTCAATAGGAGCAAATATGCCAATGAAGCTTTCAGCATCGAAACGAAGGCCGCAAAGCAGGGATACCGTCTCCGTGGCTGACTCGGCCTTTCGACTTGGGCCTACGCTTTAGGTTGCTGGGACGTTCCTTGTTGTCTCGTTATTATTAGCTGTGTTAGGTTGCCTTATACGACACTACAGCTAAACCTGAGAAACTTATCGAATTGATGGGGTAACGTGGCGCTCTTACAGGGCAACAAGCGAGAAGGAACTGGCAGAAGCAGGGAGGTTTCAGTGCAGGCGGGGCAAGCCAAGTAACAGGGGCATGCCGCCATTGTGACGCACTCAAAGCTATGATACGATGCAATCGGAGGGCCAATGAGGCAAACTTTGGCGGACCGGGCTTCGCTATTTCCTGCCGAACGTTAGCTAAAGCCGCACACCAGTCGTCTCATAACCGCTTATTCAAACCTTGTCTATGGCGCTTAGTTTGATATGCACTGAGCTAGTGGGGAACGTCCGATCTATAATCACATCAACGTATATGAATATGAAGTGTGGGTCACGCTCATATGCGAAACAACGAGGAGGAAAAGCTATCGTTTCTATGGTTACCAGCCTATCGCTGGCGGCCTGCTTGATGCTGGAAACTTCGTAAAGCGAACTTAAATGCATCTATGTGATGGGAAAAGATAAGTTGTCTTCTCGGAGGGCAAGCATGTAATTAAAAATGAAGAATAATCCCTTTAAATTGTATGGACTATATGTAGAGCAAGATTTCCGATACATGCATGAACTAAAGACAGTAGTACGACTGATACAAAACGCTTTTATGCGATGATTTATCAAATTTTTTTTTAATTACTTCGTAAGTGACAGCTGATGTCACATGTGTATGGGGTACAAAGAACAACCACAAAATTAAATAGTCCTATGCCCGTTTGCTACGTACGAGCATAAGATCGTACGAATCAACGATCTGTATATTAACGAATAAAGGCTCAATACCTACAAACCAATAGGAATATTGTATATAACCCAAACGTTACACAAATCAAGGGTGCAATAAGTTAATCCCGATATGTCTTCATAATCAAATATTGCCATCCATACAATTTGACGCTGTATCAGGTCCACATGCATGCGCGTTTTATGCACACGCTTATTTATACTTATGGAACAATGCGCTAAATTAGCTGATGCAATTATCTGGGGCTGGCTGCAAAAATAGATCCCCAGCATAACCATCCCGGGTCAAGGCTATATAATTCGACCCGACGAAAACCGCAAAACGATAAACTTCCCTGTTCTTCCCATTAACTTATGACCATTGAAAATGACCAATAAGGTTAGAAGCATGAATTTTCTCCGAACAGCAACGGCAGCATGAACAACATTAATATGGAGAACCCTAAGCATAAGGCAGCCTCGTCCTATTTGCACGCACAAAGCGTGAGATCTGGATAAAACAAGGCTAGGAAAAGCAATTCCATAAAGCAAACAAATATGAGCAGGAAGGTATGGACGCGACACCAGAAAACTATAAGTATATCAAACAGGTCATAGGTGATGAAATGCCAGTGCATAGCAGAAAATGGGGGCGGAGAGCAGGAGTGAACATATATTCACGAAACGAGATTGGAACAGGAAAGAACTCCGGGGTCTGAGGAGGTGCAGGACCTTACAGTACTTATTTTTGAAGGAACAACACAGCCTAGGTCAAGTAAAAGAGAGAACTCACAATACAACAACAGTACCAACAGGCTTGTAAACATTCCAGGACTGGCGCTACCATTTGTTTTATGCCGCCGGCGTTCTAATCAAAATGGCCAACACTTGTCCTTAGAATCAGACAACAAACAGCTTAAAGAAACAAGCGGCAAACACTCCTCCTGCAACGGCTCCTATGCACGAAAAACCTAAACGGAGATTTTCAACAAGCGATCGACAAGCCCTGAGTAGCAAAGAGGGAAAGACAGCATGTAAGAAATGCGTCCAACACCAACATGGGTGGGGAAGGGGTCGTCAAAGCAATCGCTGGGCCCACGAACATTGTTGTCAGACAGAGACCTTCTACATCTGGCGGCGCCGCCCAATAACAAACGCTTGGCTCGGGGCAACTGGCATAACGAAGAGCTACGAAGCGAATGGAAGATTACTGCATTATCGTAGAAAGGTAGAAATTGTCCTGAATAGTGGATGACGAAATAGCGCGACAGCAAGACCAGACAACAAGTTGTCGTTTAGAGAACATCAGAGAATAGGCGCGGAATTATTGTAAATGGACAAGTGGGTTGGCACGTAGTTGTTGCAAGAAGAGTTGTAGTAGTGACTGCATGATGCACCATGGTGCATCGTGAAGTGAGATAAAAGTTTGAGTATACGTAAATGGCAGTACTGAAGAACGCGAGTTGACAAGAGGTCTGAGAAAACTGTCTCTTTGGCCTATTAACTGTAATCAGTCAGTTAAGTGAGATACTAAGTCGTAGTAATGTCGTATAGTGGTTAACAATGTTAGTGAAAACGTTACATTTATTGTAAGATGATTCGAGAAAGAAAGGCGATGACGAGACAAATAGAATAATGGCCAAGCAATTAGGCGGAAACGCCATTGCGTTTGTCCAAATATCATGAGTTAAAATAATGATAGTCGCGAGCATACCACGATCAATCAGAGGGAAAACGCCTAAAATCCGTTTTTCGTTAATCCTACATTTTTGGTGCAATTAGTTTTCACAAGATAAATTATTTATCTCTACAGTGTTTCATTAAAATTAAATTAAATATCAAAGGTACAGTTTATATGATACGCGAGTTCTTCATACATCTTCAAGAAACTGCTGCTTTGCCAAAATTACATAAGATCACACGAACCCAGCTTTCATACTCGTCGCCCATGTCGTTGGTTGTTTCGTTATAGCTAAGTTCTTCGTCAACACCGATGGGGCTTTGGGAGATGCGCCTTACTTTATGGACTCTGTGGGGTTGCGGCCACAATTATCGCACTTAACTATATTCTGTAATAGCAGTAGCTTTCACCATTATAGTTTCGCTTGCGTAGCAGTCTGCATCAACTGAGTTCCTGTTATGTTAGCCGTAAGCGACAGCACATCACTTTATGTCGGGTTGATTTTTGTGATATTTCCCATTACTATTTAGAGTTCCGGTAAAGGAGGTCAGATTCGGTGGTGACACCGAGCGTGTATTTTTCTCTACGGTGTATACGTTGGCACGTTATAGACATATATCAAAGGGGTCAAAAGTGGATTGTAGGTGAGTTCAGCTACCAGATATCTGCCAGAATTAAATGAATCACCTAGCTAAGTGAAAAGCATAATAGCCTTATAAATACGATACGACGAACCAGCAAAGCCAAACATCAAGAATAACGAGCAGTCACAAAGACAACGATGCCATTAGACACGGTCACCAGGCAAGGTACGAGACAAACCAGCGGGCAGAACAGCTAGATATAGCAGAAGGCGATGAGATGCATCACAGAGCGGGCGTAAGTGAGTCATAGCTAAGGTGAATACCAAACACCGAAACCGCGGTTGATAATGTTACATCGCGTCGACAACACCAGCCAGTCAGAACACAGACACTGGACAGGATTTGCTTCACTTACTGAACATCCGTTCGGGGTTCATAATGCCCAGGTAGCGGGCCGGGGGAGAGTTAAACAAGGGGACTCTCTCTTTGTTCCGCGGGGGCAACTTGCCTTCGGTTGCTCGGAAAGTACCGTTTTTGAACGAGCGCATCGTATTCACCCATGTCTCCGATGTTGAGTAAACAAAACTGCCATCGATCCATGATGTTCCCATGTTGATCTGAAATTATAACAACAATAACAACAATGCGCTGATGAGTTTATATGCGATGACTGTTAAAGGTAACCGTTTTTTTTGGATCCTTTGGAATGCGTTGTGCGAGACGACCCATCTGTCGATGAATGTTTAAAAGCATCTACTTTTAGAGAATAAGGTTGCTAGAAAAACACATCTTAATAAAAGTGACTTCTTACATGGCGTGCAGTAGCAGTAACAGCAGTTCTGCCCTTGAGTCGTTCTATACCCCTCATCTACTTGGAAATTTGCTGCTATCCTATCGTAGCGAGTTCTATATGCCCCAAATGACCCTCTAGCTAACGTCATGTCGTACCCATACAAGCGCACCACTGACTTCAAAACATCTCCTTTCATAAAAACAACACAGATCTTTCTTTCCTTGGAAGACTTTGATATCTGTAAACTTCAATCTACTGACTTCCTACTCCCTGCGCTCATCTGGTTGGTATCTGTCTGACATAATAAATGCGCGGCCTCTCTTGATACGTTCCTGCCTTATCCCGCAGCTTCTCTATTCTCACGTCTTTTGGTGTATTTTTTCATTTGCCTCCGACCCCTCCTTTTGTGATTCGCAGTACTCACGGCGGGTTGTAATGGCATACCCGCGCTGATTACCACCTCGCTGTTGTCACTACTGGCAAATGCAGCTGCGTATCTTTCTACTCTGTGTCGTTATTCTCTCGTACTATTCGTGAGTAGCAAAGCTCTCTCCCTCCCTCTCCTGCTCTTTTCTCTCTCTCTCTCTCTCTCTCTATCTCTATCTATCTCTCTCTCTCTCTAAACATATAAACCGGATCGAATTTATTCGTAGTTTATTTTGACTTCATCTGTATCCAATAGCGTAGGTTCACCCCCGGTGCCGTGCGCGTACAACTCGGGGATTCCTCGGAAGGGGATTGTCGTCATCATAATTTGGTGCCTAATCATTTACCGGTCAACAGCAGATACACAGGCTAAATGGCGAAGGTCTACCTGTTTCTGGCACCGCCGCTGAGGATATGCACAAATCCCCGCTGCTACTTCGGGGCCTCTGCCCCATAGAAAAAATACCTGGATAACGAGAATAACGCTATTAAAGTAATCAAACGCAACCAAGGAAAAGTTGGCTGCCGAGGCTTACGACTGGTGATGTCCCTTTGCTCCCGCAATAGTAATCTTTAGCAGCGAAAAACAGCAAAGGCAATAGGAAATAGATAGAGAAGGACAAAGAACATAAAGCAAGGGAAATCTTTTAAGAAGTGCAGAATGTACGTGTCCACGGACTCAGCCTCACCAGTAGATATCTAGTTCGTGCTGCTTTGTAGCCGACCATGGAAGTCTCTTCTGAGCTATGTTCCGCGCACGCTTCTTTTGGGCCTTTCTTCCTACCTCATTGTCCTGTCTGCATAAGACGCCTGTAGGGAGCAAGGCAACGGAGGGCAGTAATAGCAACATTTGCTGGATTTCATAACCCAGGCCAAACGGCGCCAACGCTTCCGACGGCTTCCATAGCCTCTATTGAAGGGACAAAATAGCGCCAACGCCATAACTCGTAGTGGTACTAACAGAGTAATATACTGCAGTAGGAACGCTGAAGGCGAGAAAACGTTCCGAAGAGACAATTATGGTCGTACAAATTCCTTTGAGGACACAGGAAGAGAACATCGGCTACGTTGGCTTTCGACCGGTTTTCCAACCTCATCCGAAAGTCGGTCAGCTATCTAGTTAACTGTCTAAGAGAAGCCTTGCCACTTTCGGCCTCTTTTTCGTCTTGTTAGTTGACGTGTGTCCCCTTAAACCCTCTCAGCAAGCAAGCAAGCAAGCGAGTCTTTTTTTAAGTTTTGCTGTCTCGTTTCATCTCCATTTCACTTGGATCATACAGTTGCTGATTAGGTATAAGCGACATAGGAAAACCTAGGTAATGAATGGGTAGAAGTTGAAGTTGACTGATCAGGCTTAATAAACAGGCAACAATGGTTTCAAATAATCCCTAAAGGTACAATCCGTTTAATGTATTCGGCCTTTGGATATCTTTTGCTGCGTGGTAGTCTTGATAATCCTGATTTAGTAACAGTCTTGTAAATAGAGTCGGCGTATTCATTTCAGCTCCTCGAGCAGCAGCTGAGATCGGCGTAAATGTCGTTTTTATGGGCAGACTGTAGACCTAGCTCGTGTTGCAATGTGCATAGAACGACAGAAAGTTCTTTGTTCACATTGGGGATTTCTCACCCCAGATTCGATCCGTGGTAACGTCTCAGCGATGTCGAGACAACTACCTCACCTTCCTGTTACAGACAGCGGCAGAAGCTTCTGAGTTTGCTCGGAGTCATCAGCGAACCAATTTTCTTACGATAGAAAACACGTATATTGATGTGGTATGAGCTTAAAGGAAAACTACCTTCTCCGGAAGTTATTCTTGGCGTGGTCACGATGGCATATGAGACTGCACAATGAATATGTGGCTATTTCACAGGTATAGTATTTCAATTGTTCCAAAGAAATTTACGTGGGTAAGCCGCTTCATTAATTAGTTGTCGTCCCCTAAGCCTAGGAATCGCTAAACAACTTTACAGTAAAGCGCTTGCATAGGGAGTTTCGCTGTACTCATGTGAGTCTTGACACATCGTACTGGGTTTGATGCCTGATACGAGTTCTTACAGATCGGTCAAGTAAAGGGACGGCTACCTACTAAAGAAGGGACATGCATAAGCAATCATTAAACTAGGGTAAAGAGTTATACTTTAGCATTCATAAGGGAGGGGAGGAGCGGGGCGGGGTGGGGGGGGTTGGGGGGTCAATTTTGTCGACGTGCTTGATCCTATTAGCAACAGCATCTGGCAACATGATTATGGCTTACGCTAATACCGCGTATGTGATTGGTGCGCATGCAGAAACGCAAATAAAATAAATGTTTATAGACTACAATATCGGTGGTATGGTAGCACTTTTATGACCATCATCTCCGAAACAAGGGCCGTGTTAAGGGTTAACAAAAATAATAAAATAGATTATGCGGCAATTGCCTCTTGTCTTGCTTTCACTTTTGGTGTGTGTGCATTTAGAAGCTATGTAAAGCTTTGCCCCCCAGGCAGCAAATCATATTCGTTCTAAGGAACTTGTCGAGCTTTAGATGCCCGGGCCAGTTGTTGCATGTCAGCGTAAGCCGATTGGGTGCCATCGAAGCACGACAGGAGGAAGAACGACACAATTAGTAGGAAGAACTAATTAATTAATAGACTTACGTAATACCCTCTCTAGTGCACGTTTTCATTCATTCATTCATTCATTCGTGAAGAACGCGGCTTGAATCGAACTAAGCCGCTCTCTAAGCGTTTGTTCAACGATTGTAATGCCGAATTAAAGTTATGAAACAATTCAACATTATTGTTTACAAATACAACAATAGCAATAACAGTTCTGCACGATCGTTATGTTCCTTCAAACTACAGTGAATTGTACCGCAAATGTACCCCGAAATACGCAGCTTTTACAAAGTTATTAAACTAATGATATAAGTATTATATACATGTCAGGCCATTGCCGATGTAATTTTGTCTTAACAACTTTGATGTGAAATAAGCCTTTTCAAATGAGTGTTACATGCCTGTTCTCGGGGGTTATTTGGAGACTGTCCGGTCTTCGAGTCGTAGATGGCCCTGTGAAACGGCATGTACTTTTCTCCTCGACATTTCTTATCATACATCTCATCACAGCGGTTTATCTTGATTCGATGAAACTCAATGGGGCAGCCGGGTTCACTCGCCATGAGGACTTCGCTCGAGATGACCTGGCCTGTAATGAACAGTTGATCGAAGATTAAGCACATCGACCGACAGGATACATACACGTACAATAGAGACGTTATTTATGGGATGCTCCTTCAAGCCTCGTGTATGAACTTTTCAAGACCGATTCGTAATATCTACGACGATAATAACAGGAATAGTAGCAAATTTCTTTTTAATTTATTATCGTTATTATTATTATTATTTCATATAAAACAATATGGCGTAAACTACTGCAGTGCTATTGTTCATGGACGGACCCACAATGTACATCTATACTGGACTCAAGTAAATAAAATATGTTACATGCATCTGTATATACATTTATGCACACTAGAGTCATTCATCTGTAAGAACGTAGCCCTTTTTTCCAACTCTAAGATATATGACTTTCCCCTATTTGCTGCGTATTTCTTTTCAGAGGAAATCTCTTCTCAGTCAGAAATAGTATGGCGGGTATTGAACAGACAGCAAACTTTCCGAAATATATCGACTTCTACCCGCCCCGAACGTTACTGCTATTGGCTGACGAAAGCTGCTATTGGCAACCATGGTTGTAGTTGGTAAATGCTACATGGCTACCGATCGTTTCGCCATCATTTCGCACTCTCCAGTTATATACTCATATGTACAAAATGCCACACAGATTCATTCGAAGTTCCGTACTACATATATACTATATGGGGTTTGTCATACAGCGAAGTTAAGTGTAAAGGAAAGCAGCGACGGTCGCTATTGAAAGAGGCCGAATTATGTCAGCCAATGGACTAAGTGGCCACTTCGCTCTAAGAACTGCTTCAAATTCATTATTATTAGGTATTAAATGCACAGCAACACAAAAGCTGTCTGATCTTCAATAAAAGACGAGGTTTCTTAAACCTTCCTTTCAGATTGTCAAGACTTGTAAATTACATGGTCTGATTGCAAG